TCATCTCTTCTCGCCTCGCTACCAGTAGTTATGTACATACATGCAATATGCAGTATGTATGTATGCTTATGCACTACTGCGAAATTCGCTCAGTTCGGCGCCGGCCCTTGGGTCACCTTCGGCAAATTTTCCCAAATAATAATAATAATATACTACTGTTATAGGATTATCTCGGCCCATCCTGGCTCTTAAGCCAATCTCTCTCCTCAAGCGGAAGCTAGAAAGGACAAGAAAAAAAAACAATGCGTTCTGGATCGGCCTAGGGCTAGTCAACCTAACTGACTGACTGACTGATGTCCAAAAAAGCCGCTCCGCCATGCTTTCGCTTATTTTCTCAGAGGTAGTACCGCCAAACATCTCTACATACTCACTCCGTACATGTCGGATAATAATAATGCTCTCTCTCTGTCTCCCTCTCAACGGTGAGTCCGTAATAATACCGCCTCCGGATGCGCGCGGATCCCACACCGCACCGGCGCCCGGTGGTCCAATCACCTGGCGGGCGTTTTGCAGCAAACCGGTTTTTTTTGTTTCTTTCGAAATTCGTTGCAATTACCACAACATGCACGCATTGCATGCATGCATGCATGTATATGGCCACGGGCGCAGGCGTGGGCGGACGTGCGGAGGAATCTCAATTCAATTCAATAATGATGTTGGTGTTGATGTTGATGTTGCGTAGTCAGCGAGTCTGTCCAGACCCAGAGGGAGAGAGAGAGAGAGGGGCGGAGGGGCGGTTGGGGGGGGGGCCCCCCCTCCCCGGCCCCTGAACCAAGAAACAAATCAAACTTGACATCTGATAAGGCACAGACTAGCATCACATTTTGTCCTTCGGACCTCCCTTAATAATAAAATGATACTATCACGGTCCTCCAGACTCTCTGCTCCGTAGTGTCGATTATTATTGTTTCAACCTAGACAAGAACAAAGCCGAAGAAAGGCGAAGAAAATACAGTCTTGTAGGCCAAAACTGGGGAAAAGAAGAGGTTCCACTCTGCTCCCCGGTTTAAGGTTAACACATCTGGGTGCTGATTTAACCTTCTCGACGGCTCTTGGGGGGGCTTGTCATATTCTTCTTCTTCCTCAGCTTCTGCGTCTTCGCGCGCGTGTATGATCAGCGACCGGGTTTCAAAGTGAGTCCGTTTTGTGCTGGGGGGGGGCCAAGACCCGCCCCCCGCCCAGCCCAGCCCACCGGCCGGCCCTCTCAGTGCGCAGTGAACACACCAGACGACAAGCAAGAAAAGGACAAGAAAAAAAAATGAAGCTGAGGAGATGTGATGGGAATAATTTCCCGCGGCGGGTTTGGTTTTGTGTTTTTGTGACTGGTGTGTTTTCGCGTCGAGATTAACGATCTTGGGAGGCGGCTGATTTGGAATTGTTTGTTTCGTCCTGTGACTGACTACGTAGTAGTAGAGATGGCCAGTTGTGGCTCGTCAGCGACTTACTTGTTGTGCTCGCTGTTTGGATTTGTGTTTTTCGGCCTTTGGTTGTATTTTGCCGGCCCGGCGACTGATGCGACGCTGCGGACGGCAGCAGAGGTACATGCTACGGAGTGACTACATACTTCCCCTAGGGCGTGTTTTTCTGGCGCTTTCTTTGGTCCTTTCGAGGCTTAACCAGATCAGGGCGTCGAAGGAAAAGAAAAAAATAAAAAAAAATAAGAAAGGTCTGGACAGAGTGTCACTCTCTCCGTTTCGTTAGTTCGCTAGTCAGGTCGTCAACTACTACTAGCTCAGTCATGCACACTACGCGGGCTGTAACTATACGGGGTGACAATGCGAAAAAGGGGGGCGCGCGGTGGAAATAGAGACTAAGTAACTAACTAACTAACCAACCGTTGAAAAAAAACGGGCGTTCCGCGCGATTCACGCACGCCCGTCCGGGCGATACGAAGAGGTGTCAGAGTAATCTACTAACGTACAAAGTACGGAGTCTCTCACTGTGATGATTATGATTCTGCTTGTCTCGCCGGCGGCCGGGCCGGCCGAACAACGCCCGACGCCGAATCGCCGCGCCAGGCCATCTCCCTCTCTCTCTCTCTCTCTCACATACCAGCGCGATGCCTGCTCTCCCGAGCTAGCGGGCACGACATCCCGTCCCGTTACGACTAACTGACTACTTTGCTTGTTTCTCGTTCCAGCGATCCCGAAGAGGGCCGCCCGGGCTGAACAGGGGTGACAAGAAGAGAGAGAGAGAGAGAGAGAGATCGAAGCAGGGAACAGAAGGACAGGGCAGGGCAGGCGGGCGGGGGCGCGTCCCGCAACCAGCGTCCAGAGAATAATGTATTATTATTTGTTCTTTTTTGTTTTGAGGGTTCAGGCGCGCGCGTGTGTCGAATTAAACGCACGCCGGCAGGGGTGGGCGAAGAAGATACGTCCTGTACTCCTCGCCGTGGCTGCATCGGGCAAAAGATCGTGTTCGAGCGCAGCTCGTTAGTTGTTCTGCTCTCGTCGGACGGAGTGATAGCAGGGCGGCGGTATAGCTCCGAGCGGCCGTCTTTTGGGCAGTTCGTATGCAGTCTCGGTGGGCGGTGGCCAATGGAGGGAAGAGACAGGAAAAGCAAAGAAAAAGGGCTCAGCTGTAAGAATGGTGGTGATGATGATCGCTGTCGTTCAAGAGAGAGAGAGAGGTGTCTTTCATGTGGTCGCGGGAGAGTCAAAGGAAGGCTGGGCGGGCATGTTCATAGTACGCCGTACTCTCCTACGACTACGGCCAATGCGCGACGCGTGCGGGGGGCAGCGCGTGATTGGGCGGCGGAAAATGACTCGTTTGGGCAGCGCGCAGCCAATGGGCGGCGAGAGCGCGGTCGGCCGGCCGAGGCAGTAGTATTAGTAGTATTAGTAGAGTATTAGTAGAGTATTAGTATCAGTAGTGTCGTGTACGGAGTACGGAGTATTTTAGTAGTGGTATGTACAGAGTGGTACGGAGGACTTGGTGTAGGTAGCAGTAGCATGTAGTATACTCCGTAGAGCACTCCGTACTCCCCTCGCTCATACCGTGCTGGCTGCGCTCTCTCTCCCTCGAGGCCGCGCCGATCCCCACCCAGCCGCCAGGCTGATCCTCGTCTACCCGCGCCGGTCGCTGGGCGCGCGCGATCGGCGCCGCAAAGCTTTGTGGCTCGCGCGTGCCCGCACGCCGCGTGCGTGGCGCCACCACGCCCAAAAGCTATTATACCGTCGCGCTGCCTCTGTCTGTCTGTCGGTCTGTCTGTCTGTCTGTCCGTCTGTCTGTCGCCATGACTGCCGTGGTGCCGCTGCCGTCGCTGCTCCAGGACGTGAGTTGCTCTTCTTCTTCTGCTGCTTCTTCTCTTCTGCTGCTGCTCGCCATCCTTGCTGCGGATCACGGCCACACGTGGGGACCGCACTAAAACAAGCCATCGCGGGCTGTCTCGTCTGGCCTCGCACCCAGCTGCTTCCATCCCATCTGGCATCTCTGTCTCATCAGCTCACTCTGCCACTCTGCCACTCACTGCTCACTGCTCACTGCTCACTGCTCACTGCCCACTGCCCACTCCTCACTTCTACTACTCAACTCGCCCCAAGAATAATCCTGCTACGCGCACTCCGTGCACGCCCCTCCCCCCTCCCCTCCACCACCCCCCGGTGGCCGTTAAAACGGTGGGGGAAATTGGGCCGCCTGGGATGTAACAGCATCCCTGCGCGCGGCGCTGCTGATTTCGCATCATCTCCCAAACAGCCCTAATCCCCTTCTAGATCTTCGCTGATCCTTCTACTTAAACCTTGCCGCCGGGCGTCTTGTTTCGACCGCCTCGCTTCGTGCGCCGTGCTAATATCATCTCGTTCCGCTCGCTGTCTCGCCCTTCTTCGTTCCTGTTCTCTCTCGTCTCGTCTCATCTTTGTCTCTCTCTCTCTCGCTCGCTCTCTCTCTCTTTCTCTCTCTCTCTCTCTCTCTGCTTCTCTCGCTCCCTCGCTCCCCTACTACTCTCCCTCCACACCACTCTTCCTGCCCTCGCGCTCTTCCCGTCTGACGGCCAGCCTCTCATCGCGTCCCCCCCAGCCCGCGCCGCCCCCGCATCACCACTATCCCTCCCACCACGCCCACCACAACCACCACCACTCCCACCACCACCTCGTCGCCGCGCCCGCCGCCGGCCTGCCCGACGCCCTGGGGCCCGGCCTCGCCCTCCAGCGCCCGCTGCACTTCGCGCCCGCGCCCGCGCCGCCCGACGACGCCCTGTACGCCGCGCTCCCGGCGGCCTTCTCGGTCTCCGCCACCCCCGAGCCAGGTATCTCTCTCTCTCTCTCTCTTCTGTTCTGCGCACTGCCTGCCGACTGACTGACTGACTGACCGTCCCAGACGCTCCCGATCTTATGGCCGCAACCGCCCCGATGCAGCGGCCCTACCCCCCCATCTACCACACGCCGCAATCCAACTCGCCCGCGTCCGTGGCCTCGCCGCAGGCCCACGACCAGCACAGCCGCGGCCTGTATGGCGCGCCGCCGCAGCTGCCGCCCGGCCTGTACAGCTATCCGCAGTACCCGCCGCTGAACGCCCTGCACGCCGCCCCCTACGCCGCCCACTCCGCCGCGCCGCCGCACGCCCAGCTGACCTCGCAGCCGCTGCTCGTCAGCCCGCCCACCAGCGCCCCGCCGCTCCCACCGCAGCAGCAGCATCATCAGCAGCAGCAGCAACACCAGCAACAGCATCATCAACAGCAGCAGCAGCAGCATCACCAGCAACAGCAACAACAGCAGCACCAGCAGCAGCAGCACCATCTGCACCACGGCGGCCTGGCCACCAGCCCGCACCTCAAGCTTGATCCCGCCGGCACCCCGTCCAGCGCCGCTGCGCGCGCGCCGCCCACGGCCGCCCACCACCACCACCCCGGCCACGCCCACAGCCACGCGCACGCCGGCAGCGCGGGCGCCAACACCAGCGCGGCGCCCGGCCCCATCCCCGCCACCACGCCGCTGGTCGTGCGCCAGGACAACAACGGCGTGCAGTGGATCGCCTTCGAGTACTCGCGCGACCGCGTCAAGATGGAGTACACCATCCGCTGCGACGTCGAGAACATCAACATCGAGACGCTGACGCAGGAGTTCAAGACCGAGAACTGCGTGTACCCGCGCGCCTGCTGCAGCAAGGACCAGTACCGCGGCAACCGCCTGGTGTACGAGACCGAGTGCAACGCCGTCGGCTGGGCCCTGGCCGAGCTCAACCCGTGTCTGCGCGGCAAGCGCGGCCTCATCCAGCGCGCCGTCGACAGCTGGCGCAACAGCAACCAGGACCCGCGCCTGCGCAGCCGCCGCGTGCGCCGCATGGCCAAGCTCAACAACCGCAAGGCCGTCTCGTCCGCCCAGCACCCCGGCGCTGCTGCCGCCGCTGCCGCCGCCGCTGCTGCCCATCTGGCCGGCCCCGGCACCCCCGTTACCGCCAATACCTCGCTGGCTGCCCCCGGCGCGCTCACCCTCGGCGGCGCCCAGCTGCACCACCACCACGCCCACCCAGACGGAGGCCCCGACGATGTGAGCGGTATGTTCCACCGCATGTGATTTTATTCTTGTCTTTTCTTTTCTCCTTCTTTTCTTCTTCTTCTTCCGTGTGTAGGCTGCGTGTGGCCCCCCGCTGTCTTTTGCCCGCGTCGGAAACGACAAGCCCGTGTAGCCCTGCATCGTTTTATTCCCTGTTGCATTCTGCAAGGCAGACATTCACCCTATTTGTGAGGACATTTTCTTGACATTTATCTTTATTTTTTCATTTTTTTTGGTTGGCGGCCATGGGATGGTTTCTGTTTGTTTTGCCGTTCTTCGATCCTTTGTCTGAGCCAGGAATGCCAGTGTATGTGTACAGTGTCCGTTTTTTTGCTTTTTACTTGCCGTTGTATTTATCCGCCTTGCAGTGGTGCTCGTATTTCCGTGATGTTCTGCATATCTTCTGTTTCTGTGGTCGCGGGGCGACGGGGAACCCGACAGCCAAACATACAACTCCCTCCCCTACACAACACCCCTATACCCGAGTCGAATATTTTTTGCTGCGCGCGCTGAAAAGCAAAAAAAAGTTGTTTCATTTTCTTTTTTTGCATCCCAAAAACACAAGGCAATGCGTAGGCTAATATGCATCCGTTTTTTCGTATTGTTTTGCGTGTTATAGGCAATCATGATTATACGAACGGGGCTCATCGCCCATCCACCGCCACGACCTCGTTCGGCACGCCCACAGACATGCGCCCCGCCCACATCTTCCATGGCTATCCCTCGTATCCGTCTTCGAACGCCGCCACCAGCGGCCCCTCCATGGCTCCGCCGCTGCGCGACACCAGCCTCGACCACTACCCCAAGGGCGCAACCGGCGTGGCCTCGTCGCTCTCCTCGTCCTCGGCCTCGGCCTCCAGCAACAAATTCACCGGCGGCGGCGGCAGCAGCAGCAGCATCAGCAGCGTCAGCCACGACCACAACCCCAATGAAGACCACAGCCCCGAGACCTCGGCGCTGTTCGGCGACCTGCCCGAGGGCCGGCGGCGCAAGTTCATCCTGGTCGAGGACCCGCAGCGCGGCTGCCGCGTGCGCGTCAAGGTCATGCTCGACCAGGTCGACATGAAGGAGATCCCGGACTCGTACCGCAAGTCCAACTCGGTCTTCCCGCGCACCTACTTCCCCGTGCACGGCCCATTTGGCCCGCCCGGTCGCGGCCGGCGCTTCGCCGACAGCAACGCGGAGGTCGAGGGCGATAGTAGTGCTGACGGCAACGGCGGCGACGACGAGGAGGGCGCCGCCACGCTGGGTCGCACCGTGGTGCCGGTGCCCATGCTGGACGGCGACGGCAGCGTGGCCGTGCCGCGCATCGCGAAGCGCAAGCGCGACAAGGAGGTGCTGCTGAACGATCTGGGGTATCGCATGAGTTGGGGCCAGAGCCGGGTGTTCTCTGGCCGGACGTTGTTTCTGCAGCGAGCGTGTGAGTCTTGAGGATCCTGGTTTTTTCGCCTGAACCTTCGAGTCAAACTATCTTACGTCAATGACTTTTCTGCGTCAAACCTTCCCCCTATTTTTCTTCTAAACTCTAGAACGAGGAATGAACTAACGTTTGGCTTGCTTTTGTTTCACAGTGGACGCCTACCGCAATAAAATGCGCAACTCCATGCTCACCGCCGGCCAGGAGCCCACCAGCATCGCGTCGCACTTCGAGACCCGCGCCGGCAAGCGCCGCTGGCTGGACCGCTCCAAGCGCGACGACAGCCACAATAAGTCGCGCTCGCCCGCCGCCGTCGAGACGTCCAGCTCGGCGCGCCACGCCGACGAGGTGCAGCCGTGAAATCGGAGCATCTAATGAATATATATATGATTGCTCGCCGTTTGTTCTTTTTCTCTCGGCCTCCTTCCCCGCCGCAACTCTCCATCTCAAATTTAATCAAGGAAGACAAAAGGGAGAGCAGAGCAGTGTGGATTCTCTCTGTACTATTTTTTTGCTATTTTTTTTTTTTTTTTTTTTTTTTTTTCACGATATCTGTCAAGGAAGCGAGCGAGCGAACGAGCGAATAAGCAAGCAAGCTAACTAGCGGAGCGAGGCCCGGGGGAGGACCGGTACGAAGGGAGATCCCCGATATTTAATATTCTTCTTTTTTTATATACCTTCTTTTCATGATGTCTGGGGATAGTTTTCCATGCGTGCGTGTGCTGTTTTCTGGGACGTCTCAACAAAAAAAAAAAGAACTCACGGGAGCGCCTCTTATTTTTTTTTTTCCTTCTTTCTCTCTTCTCCGGTCAGCCCTCTTTTTCATCTTCTTTCGACAATGGTACATATACATCGCTCTTCTTTCTTTTTTATTTTATGAACTTTCTCGGGGAGGATACCCTTTTCAACACCTGGGATTTAGGGGGGGGGAATATATACACACACAAAAACTCATGCTTATGGCAGGTCTTTTTTTTTTTATTTCCCCTCTTTAGTTTTTTATATATCTTTCCTATACATACATCATTTGTGGACATGGAACTTTTATGGGAAATTGTTTGAATGTGTTTTGGGTCAAATACGTGTGTGTGTTTTTTTGTTTCTCTGGTGCGAAGGGAGGAAGGACTTGGTGGCGGAAGGCCAGGATGGAAGAGGATAGAAATGGGTCTTTTTTTTTTTTTTTGTTCTGTTGGTTACTGCACTTTTTTTGCTTTGCCTATTGTTTTTTGGAGCGTTGTATGGTTTGTGTGTGTTTTTTTTTTTTTGAATGTATACCTGTTGTGCTGTGTTTTTGGTAGCATATTTCTGGCTCGTTAGGGAGAATGACCTAGATTGCTACGAATGATGCTACATACGCATAGACGTACTCCCTAGTTAACCAAAGGGCAGGCCAAGCTCTAAACATTCAGCGACGGACGTCCTTCATTTCTTCAGGGCCACACACACACACACACACACACACACACACACTCGTTTCACCGACGCCCGCTCCCACCACTTCCGACAGCTCTGTAGTAGTAGTATTAGCGCAAACGGCGCCCCGTTCCAATGATCTGCATCGAAAAACAGCAAGGGTCGCGCGGTTCTCGCCGAGAACCAGCCATTACTTAGTCAAGTCATCATTGCGGGGACCCTTTTCCTTCTGGCTGACACCACCACCCGGCTTATGGTTAAGTTACATACTTGGTCCGCCACCCGTGGATCATGACACTAAGCCGCACAGACGACAACGACGACGACGACCTGCCAGAAGACGACAAGAAAATAACAAGAGGCGCAACGACGATCGGAAGAAGAATATCTCCACTTGTGTGTGGACTTTGCTCTCGTTTAAGGAAAGTATACTACCCATTGATCCACATTGGCAGAGGGGGTTGGTTCATTTCTTGAAAAAGCGCGAGTCGGTTCGGGTGGTCTAGAGCCAGGCTGGGCGGGAATTTTCCCACGGCCAATGCCAATTATTAACGCGCGGAGGGGGGGGAGGTGCGTCTGCATGTGCGCGCTATGTAACGCTGGAGAAAGGACGTTGGGGGGACCAGAAGGAGAAAACCGTTGTTGTGTTGTATTCAAGCACCCTGTGAGTGTGAGGGGTAGAAGAAGAAGAATAATAATAATAAGATGGGAAGATTATTATTATTATATATATATTGGAAGAGGCTATCGTGTGGGCAAGAAGATGGGAGGTTTGGTTATATGTGGTAGAATATATGTCATTTGCTGTTAGACTGTATGTACAAGCACCGCAGGATACAAAAAGGATTGTAGTTACGTATGTTGTTTATTTGCATAGGTTGTATAGCCCACCCGTACAGAACGGAGCAAACTGGGCAGCAGCTTGCTGGCAGGACAAGGGAGGATATCTGGGCAGAGATAAGGAAAAAAGAAAAAAAAAAAAAAGAACCATTGTCATCGTCAGCAGGCACACAGAGTTTCTCTCCTGCCTCAATGGTTATTGTCGTCTGTTCTTTGATGCTTGCTTAGTCTCTGAAACCTTTGGTCTGCTCTGGCTTGTTTGTGGGCGTTGCCTGCGATGGCGCCGGGGCTGGTGGGGGAGCCGGTGTGGCGGACGGCGTGGGCCGGGGGCGCTCGATCATGTGGTCCCTGATCCAGTCGACGCCGTAGCCGATTCTGGTGTAAACTCCTCCATATGTCGTAGCGCACGAGTAGCCCCGAGACACAAGGCCGACGAGTTTGTTGGTTCCTGCGGTGAATAAAGGACCGCCGCTGTCTCCGAAGCAAGAATCATAGTGCGGCTTACCAGCGCATACCTCGGCTTCCGTGACGGGCAATGGACGGCCTGCATGCAACAGTCTGCAATGGGGTCGTGAGATAACAGGAACAGTGACAAAGCGCAAATTCTGAGACGACGGTCCGCCATCATATATAGCTCCCCTATTCCAAGGATCAGCACAGCTCGTTGTTGCGCGGCCCTAACAGTCCGGTATTTCTGCAAAAATGAACATGACACTTACCAGCCAACAACTGTTACGGGTTTGCCGCCCCGAGGATCGTGGCCGTGCGCCGGCAGCTCCGCGTAGCGAATGTGTTCGGTCTCACGAATAAAGTCTGTCAAGTATAGGATAGCAAGATCGAATGAATCTGGCCGAGTCCATTCCGGATGGATCAGCCAAGATGAAACTTGGGATACCACTCCACCCGATGTTTGTTGCTACAGAAGAATAAGTACAGGCAATGAGGGGCGAATAGATATAGAGACAACTTACGGTGCTTCCTGCGCGGACCTGAATTTTCTGGGCACCTCTAAGGCAGTGTGCGGCTGTGAGGGCAGTCTTGGGGCCAATCAGCACAGCGCCGCAGTCCAGCGGACCACCTCGTAGAGACATTAACAGCATGGAAGGGAATTGGCCCGGGTCTGCAATTGTTCCGTTGACGATTCTTGATCCATCATTTTCAGTTCCGAGTGGTGCTGCGGCGGAGAAAAAAGGCAGTGCAAGAGCAGCTGCGAGGGCAAGTAACTTAGTCATGATTGCTGTCAAACGGCGACAAGATGCAAAAATGCTGCTGCCGGGACTTGTGAGTCTGAAGGGCTGGGGATCTTCATCGACCTGAGGACTATGGGGGCTTCTTATAGCTTTCCAGAATATCTCTAAGACGCAGGTATACGTAACGCTTCTCTAAGAAGTTGGAAATGCAACGTATCACTGCAACTTCTGGGGCCTATCGCTAGGCAGGATATCTCAAAAAATAGAATAACTCTTGGGGGCGTGATGCCAGGAGCTTGACGAAAAGCGGAAGCATGGAACTGAATCTTCCCAGTCGGAAGCATACTGGGATTAAGCATACGAACATCATGCGGTTATGCCATGTATGCGGGGGGATTACTGGGATATCATCCCTCCGCAAAAGTGAACAGCATCCAGCCAGTAGTGACTACCTTGTAGAGCAGCAAGCATCGTCTCCACCTAGGAGGGGTATGCCCCGAAAGGGCCAAGAACCCGAATAATAATAACCTAGCATAGGTAGAAGGTGGGGTCCAACACACCAAATTGGAGCAAGATAAGAAATACCCGCCGTTCATAGAAGGTCGGCAACGGTAACATGGGTATCCAAAGGCGACGTTGTTGTAGCAGAACAGAGGTAGCGGGTTCGCCGCCAACATGCTCCCAATCCACTCACGGGGGCGTCCCACATAACTTCTACTACATAATAAGAAATCCAGGATTACAGGTCACAAGCGAGTGACGCACAGGTCAAAGGCCGTCACATAGGCGTCTAGTACGTGTCCACGTACTCTGTTGGAAAGGTATCAAGAAAATACGGTCCTGCAAAGCGGTGGAATCGGCGGCACGGGCCAGAACGGACAATTTCTTGGAGAGTCGGAAGATTTTACCCCGGAAACTTCAAGCGCCGAGGGTGGGTTCCCTGCCACTGAGTGAGTCTTGGGCCGACTCTTGGCTTCTCGACTGACCATTCCGGTCACACTCCCAAGAAGAGGCTCCTGCGGTAGAATGGCATACCCGTTGTTCAAAGCACGGGTTTACTGCAGCCTGAGGCTATTATCTGCGCGCGAATCGACTCTATTGCGCGTCGACTCACTGAATTAGCCACGTCGCGGACGCACGTATGTATGTAGATAGATACCGAGTCACACCGAATATGCGTCATCTTTGTGCGTCGTAGTAGAGCTCTATGAGCTAGTTACCATGTTCATGGCAGGGTCCAGCATTTTTAGTACACGTAGCCCCTGCAGATATTCCAGATTAAGTTGAGTGCGGTGTTTTTCAGCTCAGAAGTCCCTGGCACCTTGGAAATGAAAAATAGCAAATTCACAGGACTTACCTTCGGCTCAGCCTGAGGTTGTAACAATAATAATGTCGGCGAGTAGAGCAATTTTAGGGGCTTGGAAAAGAACGCTCAAATTGAAATCCTTCGCTGGTCCGCCTGGGGCAGTTATCTGTTTTGTTACATCAACAATGAATTGAGTGCTGAAGGATGACAGGGATCATAGCTGGTTAAACGGAAATACGCTCTTCCATTTTCCCTTCCTGTGACATTCAACGAAATAAATGTAATTCTCGTTCATGCCCAGCAGGTACGTACATACTCACGTTGGTGGTTGGAGAGTTGAGCTTCTGGAAGTCTTGGGTGTTGAGAAGTTCCGTTTCCCTCTTTTCTGCGTCTTCGTTGTTGTTCCTCACCCAAGAAATAGCAGCCTGTCTCCGATAACTATGCTGAGCTATTCGCTGCAACGGGCTAGGCGGCACCCTCAGGCACACCAGCGCCTGTGAGCCGTTGACAGAAATCATTGGAATACGACTATACAACGGACCCGAGGTGTGGAACAGAAGGCTCTAAAAGGCCGGCAGTACACAGTACCCTCACGTGATCCATGTTAATATGGCATTTGGTGGTGCGATCGGGTACCGGGTACTTCCGATCTGGCACGAGCATCTGATCCACCTCTCCGTCTTTACGGCACCTAAAAATGAAATATTTTGAGAATGCTGCTATTGCCTGTGGTTTTCGGTAGTATCGCCGGAAATAGTTGCCCAACAGAGCCTGCAAACCAGTCTGTGATGGGGCAAGCGGTGTTGTCAGCAAGACGCCCGGGCTGGTTGCGGTTGAAAAGAGAGCAATATGAAAAGAGAGCAATAATATAAACAGAACTCGCTAGGGACGTCCAGGCACTTGAGCAAGCGCAAAGAATGGCCGTGGATACGAGTACCTGTGCCCTAAAGCGAACAAATGTCTCAGTGTGCGATGCTGGGACTGCGCAGTGCGACACAGCAAATGCGTCCAAGGCCTCCAGCCCAAGCAGACCAGATCACAGAAACAGACCGACAGCCGCAAGGGTTACAGCCAGAATGGCAGACGGCAAACGGGCTGGGCAGGCAGTCAGCCGGGTGGTGGTGGTGATGGTGGTGGTGGAGCAGCGCAACGGCGGCGATCCACGCGTTGTCTGGGGCGACAGGGCTGGTGTTGTGCGGGGATCGGCCGGCTGGCCTGCGTCGAGACTGCGGGCAGCAACAAGTCAGCAACGGAGAGGAAGAGAAAGCAGAACAAACGGCTGCTGCTTGTTTTCGCCGCGGACTGCCTGCTTCGTTGGTGACAGACGTTTCCCGGCGAGCCTTTGCGTGCCAGACGGACTAGCGACGCCAAACCGCCATTCCGTGTTTCGCCTCGTCTCCTCCCCCTGCACGCCGCATCCCCATCAACCCACGACATCTCCTTCTCACACACACACTCTCTCTCTATCTCTCTCTATTTCTCATTTCCTCTCATTTCGTCACTCGTTGTTTCTCCTTACTTTCGTCTGATCCGGGGTTCGCTCCCGCCGCCCTGCATCCGTGGATGCGCCAGAGAAACCTACCAGCGCGCCCTGCAACTTTCTCAGCCACCAACAATCCACGCGGCGACGAGCCTCTAGTACTTACCTCATGTCTTATCACCCCCAGGCCCCGTACGGCGCAGACCCGAACGACCCTCGAGGATGGAACCAGTATGAGCGAGAGCCGCATCAGCGAGCCTACTCCCCCCACGGCGTCCATCCCGCCGCCCATCCAGACAGTGCGTATAACAGACTAAGGAACCAACGACAGTATGGTGGAGACTATTCAGCGTCGCAGCAGCCCTTCTCACATGGCGAGCTCCCGCCGTATCCGCCGATTGGCCGCTCCCAGACCGCACGAACGGAGTATACCGCTTCGCCGGGAGCTGACAATCTCGGCCCTATGGCTGTGGGCGGCGGCATCTCAGGCATCGCGACCGGCGTTGCCAACTCCCACGAGCGACAGAGCGGCTTGAATGCCATGCAAGGTGGTCGAGAGATCGGCCCGTACCGCGACTATCCGGACACTGGGTACTATGCTCCCTCCCCGGATACCACCGACAGCGCCCCCATGTCAAGACCTCTGAACTCCTATTCATCGAGCACTCCGCTGAATCCCGGTATGGATTCCAATTATCCGCCTGGTCGAATGGCGCCCTCAGATTCCCCCTACCAAGGCCACGGCCAACCACAGCCTCATTACGACGGCCTGAACGGCACCTACAGCGATCCCTATCACCGCCAGCGCACGTCGTGGATGCCAATGAACGAACCGATCAATCCAAATGATATTGTTGATGACGGCGACGATGGGTTTATTCGAGAGCCTAAGCGGAAGTCAGTGCTGGGTAGCCTTGGAAAGAACCCCAGTGCCCAGAGCCTCACTGGCGGCGCTGCTGCTGTTGCGGGTGGAGTTGGTGCTGGTGCGATGGCTGGCCGAAGCAACGGTGCTCCCGATGGGGGGCCGTCCTACAACCCCGTGCCGAACGAAAAGAGTGGATGGATCACTGACCAGAAGGCGAGGAAAAAAAAGATGAAATGGGTGATTATTCTTGTTGTCCTTGTACTGCTTGTTCTCGGGGGTATTGCTGGTGGGGTTGTTGGAGGCCTGCTGGGCTCGAAAAAGAACTCATCCGGTGGGAAACCAGGAGGCAGCGGGCAATCCGCCGACGAGGACACAAAAATGAACGGTGATCTAAGCAAGAATTCAAAGGAAATTCAGGCACTTATGAATAATCCCAACCTTCGCAAGGTATTTCCAGGGATGGACTATACTCCTTGGGGCTCTCAATATCCGCTCTGCTTAACATACCCCCCTAGCCAGAACAACGTTACACGCGACGTCGCTGTGCTCTCGCGACTCACCAATACATTGCGACTTTACGGCACGGACTGCAACCAGACAGAAATGGTTTTACACGCCATTGACAGGCTGGGACTGAAGGACATGAAACTCTGGCTGGGCGTCTGGATCGACAACGTCAACATTACGACGAATGATCGACAGCTGGCACAAATGTACAAAATTCTCAAGGAAACCAAGGACACCTCCATATTCAAAGGCGTCGTGGTCGGGAATGAAGTCCTGTTCCGTGGTAAACAAAGTGCTGCAACACTGCAGATGCTCAGCAACTACATGCAAGGCGTCAAGACCAACCTCACCGGCATGGGCATCAATCTGCCCATCTCTACGTCAGACCTGGGTGATGCCTGGACTGCAGAACTCGCCAACGTTGCTGATGTGGTCATGTCCAACGTCCATCCATTCTTTGCCGGTATTGCTGTCGAGAAGGCTACCGACTGGACATATGAATTCTGGAACAACAAAGATGTCGCCTTGACCAAAGGTACGGATAAGAAGCATGTGATATCTGAAGTCGGTTGGCCAAGCGGTGGTGGCAGCAACTGTAGCCCTGCTCCGAAATGTCCCGATTCATCAACCGGCGCGGTTGCTGGTATCAAGGAGATGAATAAGTTTCTGGAAGACTGGGTCTGTACAGCATTGGATAAGGGGACGAATTATTTCTGGTTAGTGTTTCTATTATTTTCTCCCTTTTACAAACGTCCAATCTCGGCTGCATACTAACAACTTTTTTCCGTTGTAAACTAGGTTCGAAGCGTTCGACGAGCCTTGGAAAGTCCAATACAACGAACCCGGCAAGGAATGGGAAGACAAATGGGGTCTCATGGACCCTGGACGAACCATGAAACCTGGTCTGAAGATTCCCGACTGTGGCGGCCGGACTATCACGTAGGCTCGCATTTTACAATACTCCTTCCACATTTTCCTTTTTCACCCTCCCAAACATACTGCAACAGATACAGTATTCTCCTTCCCGAATCCCGCTTAGATCTTGCTTTTGCACGTGCCTTTCCTATTTATGTATATGTTTCAGGGTTTGTAAATTGCTATGCACTTTTAATCCTTGTTTCTCTTTTACTGAGCTTCATGTATGCCGGCCATGGTGTTGTATCTATATCTTGTTTGCTTGTTCTGTTTTCTTTTCTTTTTTTTTTTCGCCAAATCTTTTCATGCTTCAGCCGGTCTCCTTTACGAACATTTGTTACCATTACCTACTAGATATCTTCCACAACTCTCCCCGCTGCCACCTATTTCCCTGAAATCTCCTACCCACGAAACATTCCCAGAAGTTTGGCGCCGCCTATACATGCTTTTATTCGCGTATATACCTGTGTGTTTTCACATATTGTGTACAGTCAATCTTGTGTCAACTATCCTCTTTTTTCAAGTATCTGTTTATCTTCCCTTCTTTCTTCCCCTCGTTTTCGCCCGGATAGCCTAGCAATGTACTCCGTAGCCATAGCTTATTGTAATTCTTGTTCCTGAATTTCCTGTTGAAAAACTTGGCTGAACGCCACACGGCGTTCCTGGAATGACGCAACAGTCGGGAGCCGAGCCGTGGCGCATTCTCTTATGCTGAAAGTTTAAATTCTCAAAGAACCCTTTTGTCCGGCCCGAGAGACAGTGCGGGGGGTGGGGAATTGATGGTGACTAGCTTCAAGAAGACAAGACGAGAAAGCAGATTATCAATCAATATTGACAAATTGTCATTGAATTTGAAACAGAGCGGCATTTCTCAGACTTCGCCTTGGAGTAAAGAGTAGTTAAAAATCAAGAAATATATATATGAAAAATATTTTTGAGGGTGACTGTTAAGCACGATCTGCAGATAATTAAATATTCAAGATGGCCTTATTCAGAGACATGGCAGGGATTCCTCCCCTCACAGCCACTACAGCAGACAGTGTCCTGATCATTATCGACGCTCAAAACGAGTATGCGCACAAGCCCCTTTCAATATGCGCAACCCCTCAAAAGTTTCCCTTTTCCTAACCCACCAATCCGCCTTAGATATGCCAACGGCCTTCTCAAGGTCCGTTCAGTCGACGAGACCCGTGCCGTAATATCCTCTCTTCTCTCCAAATACCGCGCCACGGCCCAAAAATCCGGCAAACCAAACGTCGTCCATGTCGTCCACAAAGTGCCCGAGGGCACGCCGATGTTCACGCCAGGAACGGCGCTGGCAGAGGAGATGGAAGAGCTGAAACCAATTCAGGGTGAGAAAGTAGTCGTCAAGGAGCTTCCAAATTCGTTTGCGAAGACGGAGTTGGATGCATGGTTGAAGGAGCAGGGTTGTAAGAAGGTGGTTTTGGTTGGATATATGGTATGCTATTCGTCTTGATCCTAGGCGAACCGGGGTGTTTTGGTTTATCTAACGAGGCTGGGTGTGTAGGCCCATGTTTGTGTGTCTACCACGGCTCGAAGTGCGAATGAGCTTGGGTATGAGGTGGTTATTGCGCAGGACGGCGTTGGCGGCCGGGACTTAGGAAAATATCATGGTGACGAAGTTGCAAAGGTATGTTGATCTTGCTCTCTTTGTTCGTACTAGAAACGAGCAATGGTTGCTGATAGTATTTGATTTGGTAGATGGCGCTTCTTGAAATTGCGGACTATTTTGGCACTTTGGTGGATAGCAAGGAAATTAACTAGTAGACACCCAACGGCAGGGCTTCTATTCAAGGATTATAGCCTTGAGAATTTTGTATAAACCCAAAGAGACATTGTCGTTCGATGATTATTCGCATGTAGAGAGAAGTACATTCTTGAATGCTTCATTTCTAGTCCTTCGCAACCGTAGAGATGGCAGCAAATACTGAGAGTGGGTAGAAATTATCGATGACGGAGAGTTTTCACCATCGATACGAAGCGCGTGTAGGTAGGATGAGACATCTCTTTACCAAACAGCTCTTTCGGGATATTATATAGGCGTGCGTGAATTTAAATCAAGCTGGACTGTGCCCAGCTTTCTCTGCTCCTTGCCAGTATATCGTTGCCTTATAAAAGGCGTTTGGATTTGATTCAAACTCCGGCAGCGAGAGGCACTCTTTTTTGTCGATGAATTGTTGGAAAGTAGCTTCTTCCAAAGCCGCCGAGTGAGTTGAGTCCAAAGAGTTGGCGAACAAAATTACAGGATTTTGTGAAAGTAGCTCCACAAGGTGAATTCTTTCAGCACCAGGAGCATATAGAAAGGTCCTTGTTTTAACCATTGAAAAAGCTTTAGGGTCCTCAACTACAGTGAGCCCAATGGATTTAAGGAGCTTCTTGTCCATATCATTGAAGATAGGGTCTTGAGCATAGACACCTCCAGAAATTTTAATATTTTCTCGTGCTACATATGTTGTACATGCCATGACGGAGGGCAGATAACCATCAGCATTCTTCTTCCCCCGATTTTCCAACAAGAAAGGCGAGAATTGCACATTGGTAAACGTACAGAAAAGCCCTAGTATCGATTCCAGCGCGACAAGCTGAAACATAGAAATACTTCGGCGATCTACCCATCCTCCACGCGAAAGTCCACTCGGGCTCCCTAGCCCAATGCAGATACAATTTTCAATGTTTCCCGCCATGCGGCTAACATTTAGTTCTAAGACTTCCTTCACCGAGGCCCAGCTTTGAGATTCTAGCCACCGCTGCTTGTGCCACTCATATTTTTCTTTCAATTTATCGAATGTCAACCCGTCTGGGATCTCTGCGGGTGTGAGCTGGTCGTTTGGTTTTGGGGCGCGGGGCTGAGTGGTAGTGGCCCTTGTGGATGTGATGTGCGTCCAGCCATCGTTGTCAAGAACTTTGACACGTCGCGCTGGAGGTTCGCTTCTCTTGCGCAGAGGGCGCGGCATCACAAGCAATGGAAGTCGAGCTTGGTTGTGCGTTGTTGGGCTCTTGACGTAAATTTTGCCCAGCACAAAGCTCCATGCACGTGATATGAAAGATTATCTAAGCAGGGAGGGCAAAGATGGCGGCCTCAAAAGCTGAACATAGGGATTAAGTGATCAAACCCCTATTTGGATTGCCCTTTTCCAGTTACAAAATTAGTCAACATGTATTATGTAGCCCTCCACCCTTTTTCCAGCTTATCATATTACCCAAGTTTTTGGTTACCGTCTTGGCGAACAGGTATGTCACGTGATGATCTCACTGCCCGCCCAGAAGCTTCGTCTTAACTTGAGCTGTGCATACTGGAGTAGACGCGACAGTGAAAACGGAACAGCCATCAGCAGATCACTGTCTTCAAATGACCACTGCAAATTAGGTTTGAATGATGAGGCTTCAAGCAGCCTGTCTTTTGCTGGCCTCGTTTTCCGCCTCGTCATGGGCAATTCTTACGGACGAGGCTTACCAGATTGATTACCACCATGCTCTCCTAGGGACGCCTCAAGCTCACGCTACCTTTTTCCACAAGCCTACCTCCTCTTCCAGTGCCTCGTTGCTCTACACACTTTCTGAAAGCTCTATCATTGGTGCTGTTAACCCGAAAGATGGCTTGATAGTGTGGCGGCAGAATGTATCCGATTACTCGGTTGGAGCTTCGTCGGGTGGGTTATTACAGGCTTCTGAAGGCGAAGATGCGGTTATCAGTGCTCTCGGGAGGGATGTTCTGGCGTGGGGTGCGTCCGACGGAAGACTTTTATGGAAGAATCGATTCCCAGAGGGGCCGATTGTCGACTTGAAGCCTGTAGACCAGGCTGCGGCTGGTGCCCATACCCTACGCGACTCTATCTTGCTTTCAGGAGAAAAGAATGGTATTGTTAGAAGGCTAGATGGCATGTTGGGAAGCGTCAAATGGGAATTCAGAGACGATAGGTACAATGGTACCCTGTTTACGCCTAGTATCTACTCTTGCTAATCGTCTGGCAGCGATGATATTCCTTTCCGAATTTCTACGTCTTCGTCCACCTTCTATTATATTTCCCTACAAGTCGTATCTCAAAAAGGCTATCGAATAAAAGTGACGGGACTGGACCCTCAAACTGGGCGCCAAACCAGTCAATACACCCTCAATTCGGAGAATGACATTTCATCTCTTGATTCAGTAATATTTGCGAGCGGCAACTCTATGTTTTCGGTGATTGCATGGTTAGACCAAGAATCAAAAAATCTCAAAATCAACGCCATCGGATCCAAAACTATCCATTCTATCGTCGTCAAAAACCAGAGTGGCGAGACGATTCAGGACGTGAAAATCCACGCTTCGAATATCGCACCTCATTTCCTCGTTTCCTATAACACTTTATCCAAGTCTTGGGCAGCAATTTATCACATGAACGAAAAGATGTCAACGGTTTCCGAATACCACCGTCTCCCACTTTTGAACTCGAAGTCCATTTTTGCTCAATGTGCAATTGGCGACAAATCTTATTTTCCTCGCATAACGACTTCAACCATTGACTTGTTCATGTCGGCATCTAAGGAGGTTCTTGGTGCGTGGAGAATTAAAGAGATATCAGGCGAACCTCAGCACGCAGCTGCGGAGGTTGTTGCTCGGGGCGCTGGCTTCGCGATTAGATTTGCACAAGTTGATGAAAGTGGAGACTGGATTCTTATTCGTAACGGCGAACTGGAATGGCGCAGACCTGAGTCATTGACTGATACGATAGTCGCGGCCTGGGCGGACGTGAATGGGAGTGAAGCTCTTGCCCAGGAACTCGAATTCGAAGGCCATCAAGATGTCCTTTCAGCTTATATCCACCGAGTGAAACGACATGCGAAGGGACTCCAAGAAAATTTTCTACCATGGCTCAAGGATCTTCCGGACAGAATTGTATCCAGTTTCCTTTCTAATGAAGGTACGGATTTGTCTCAGTTTGGATTTGGCAAATATGTTGTCCTAGCAACGCGAAAAGGTCGAGTGTTGGCGCTGGATTCGGGGCATCATGGTGTAATTTTGTGGAATACCAAGGTTGCTGATGACACAACCACCTGGGGAGCAAAATCTATCCACACGAACCATGGAATTGCTACTGTCTTTGTGAATGATGGAAGTACAGTCAAGTTGAATATTACATCTGGTCAAATCGTTGAACGGTCAAAAGCGACCAAAGCATACGCCTCGTTGATTTTAGTACCGGATACAAAATCACCTATCCCTGTGATGGTGGATTCTAACGGGGTACCTAGAGATATGCCGTCTCTTCTAGGCGATAACAAATTCCTTGTTACTATTAGTGAAGACGGAAAGCTATTTGGGTGGAGTAGCATTGACCTTAAAGTTCCTGCGTGGGAGTTTGTCGCACCCAAGGGCCAGAAAGTTGTTCATGTTACGACAAGGCCCGCCCATGATCCTGTTGCGTCTATCGGGAAAGTCCTTGGAGACCGATCGGTTTTTTATAAATACTTGAATCCCAACCTTGCACTGATCACCGCGATCACTAGCTCTTCGGTGACCTTTTATCTCCTTGATGGTATTTCAGGCCGTGTAATATACACAGCAACTCAAGATGGCGTTGATACTTCTCAACCAATCGCATCTGTAATTTCAGAAAATTGGTTTGCATATTCATATTGGACCGATGTCACGGACAACTCTGACGCAAAGGGCTCTCGCTTGGTTATATCAGAACTTTACGAGTCTTCCATACCAAATGACCGTGGAGCACTAGGTGATGCAGCCAACTACTCTAGCCTTCACTCAAGTACTGCTGCTTTACGGCCCCATGCTATTTCGCAAGCCTATGTTATTCCAGAGCTCATTTCTAGTATGGCCGTTACGGACACCCGCCAGGGCATCACAATTAGGCAATTACTCTGCACACTTCCTGCTTCCAATGCTATTGTTGGTATTCCAAAGTTTATTCTCGATCCGCGTCGTCCCGTTAATCGTGACCCAACGTCCCAAGAAGCCGAAGAGGGTTTGATGCGCTATACGCCTTTCCTGGAGTTTGATCCCAAGTGGTACCTTAACCACGCTCGGGAGGTTCTAGGTATTGAACGTATTGAATCGAGTCCAACATTATTAGAAAGTTCGACTCTCATTTTTGCATATGGGTTTGATGTTTTCGGCACACGGCTGGCCCCTAGCCAGCCTTTTGATATGCTTGGTAAAGGTTTCTCGAAGATCCAACTGCTTATAACAGTTTTAGCATTAGCGGCAGGAGTTGTTGTGCTAGCACCTATGGTAAGACTGACCTGCTATACCTGTTTCATAACACTTTTACTGACTGCCCACCAACAGGCTCGACGGAAAATGGTGGATTTGCAGTGGAAAACTTGAGAGGTTCGTGGCCTGTGCAGCTATGTATCAAGGGTTTATTCTGTCTGTAAAATAATAATATTTTGATCAATTTACGCTGGAATGATAGACTTGCATTTAAAAACATATTATTATGTTTATTTGGCACTTCAAGAGACTAGAGCAGCAGGCTGGGAATATACTAGGCAGTGATCACTGTGTCTCCAAGGAAAAAAGCCGGGGTTGATCATGTCAAAAGACAATGGGTCAAAATATATAGGTGTGGATATGAGTGAGGCATACGGCGATCTCAGAAGTCCAAAGGAATGGTTGTTGAATCGGGTGCCAAAGAACAAACTATAATACTCTGACCATTTACGAAATAAGACATAGACAGGCCCCTTGACCCTAATGTGAATTCTTTTGAGCCTGCTTTGGCCCTGAACATTTATTGTAACCACTTCAGCGGGTCGAGCAACTTTGAGGCTTATGCATATTCCTTATACAAGGGACTTGTACGGAGTACATTTCCACGTTCCGTAATTAGTATACTGGGGTGGGTTCCTACACCACTAAAGGACTGGGGAATATTGGGATTAATCGAGGATTTTCTAAAATGAAGGCCAGTTGATGCCGAACAGAGTATTTTTCAGCATCTGCTTAATCCGGCCATAGTAGTGCAAAATGTCAAGAGGTGACAGGACTGGAATATCAATAGAGTTCCTTTAAAGGTAGGTTGTCGTCACATCAATTTTAGTCTAAGCTTAACAAAAATGGACAAAAATGGCACTGTCAAGCCAACTTAGAGGTCATCAAGGGAGAAGCAAACAAGGCAAACAAGCTAAATACTGTCCAAAATAGGCATAGCATCCGTTGCAACAGATGACATCATGTGACAAGTGCTTGCTCAGCCTCGGCGCGCCACGCCATTCATCAATTCAAAGGCAACAACTTCATCTATCTTTTCTACGCAGCTCTTGGTCGTTTTGTCCATCCACTGGCTTCTTGTGGCAACTTGGTGGGAAATGGCAGCCAATACTCGCTATACACCTGCTCCTCAGCGTGATTCGCTGGAGGAGCAACAGCAATACACGCAAGCCCCTCCATCCTACCAGGCATCTTCGGACCCCCTGATGGGAGCTCCTCGCACTGAGGGCGATAATGTTCCCGATGACTTCAAGGTATGAATGTCGCTTTTTTGAATGTTGAGGAAACAAGAGATATTGACAAATGATGATAGTTTGGTGGGTCGGTGGCAGAGGCTACGCTTCCCATTCGGATGCAGTTCATCCGCAAGGTCTACTCTATCTTGTGAGTCCTTCAGCATCGCTTCTATTTTGCCGCATCTTCGACCAGTATTAACAAGTGTTTCCCTTGATAGAACTGTGCAGCTCCTCGTTACCGCCGGCATGAGCGGCGTATCCTTCTTCAACGACTCCTACCGTCAATGGGTCCAATCAAACTCGTGGATGATGTTCATCTCGGTATTTGGCGCACTTGGGTTTATGCTCCTCACCTTTTGGAAGCGGAAAAGCTACCCGAGCAATCTCATCTTTCTCGCCGCCTTCACCCTTCTCGAGGGCTATGCCGTGAGCGTGGTTACCTCATTTTACGATTCGGCTATCGTGATGCAAGCCCTTGTTATTACTCTGGGCCTTTTCCTCGCCTTAACTCTCTTCGCCTGCCAGACCAAGTACGATTTCACGAGCTGGATGCCATACCTCTTCTTTGCGCTATGGTTCTTGGTTTTGTTTGGAATTATGACGATGTTTTTCCCAATGAGCAGCAAAATGGAGCTGATCTACGGGTCCATTGCGGCTCTGATATTCAGTGCATATATCCTTGTGGACACGCAGTTGGTCATGCGTCACCACCACGTCGAAGAGGAGATTGCTGCATCGATCTCGCTTTACTTGGACGTTATCAATTTGTTCTTGGCTATCCTGCGGATTCTGAATAGCCAAAGTAATAATTGAATCGACTAGTTAAAGCTCTCTGTACAAATTGAAACTGTGTCTATATTTATATCCGACGTCGTCATATGTCACTTCCTTTTCGGGTTCACATTTGGAATACCAGTGTCTCGTTTCAATATTGTTTAGGCGTTGATATTCGGTTTGCCACTTTAGCTTGAAGTTTTTCTACTTCAAAATTGTCTAGCAGCACATGGGCTAAATAATAAATTTTCAATTTATACCCAACTCCGAAAATGGCTGCCCGCTAATAAGTAAATACAGACAGGAAGTAAAGTTAATAGAAAAATGTTCAAGTAATAATAGAGCGTAGATCTAACCAAGAAAGCGCCCAAAAGTAAATAGGATAGACCAATCTATGGCATGCAACTAAAAGGAAATAGTAAATAGTGTGCGTGTAAACAACAACACGAAGAATGTAAATCAATCAGTATTTGGTATAGAATTGTAGGGTTTCTTAAAGGGTGAGAATTTCAAAATGATTAATATCATCTCCCTAAAATATCAAATGCGTATGGAAGTAAATCCGATACTCCAAGCTGGTAGGTTAAAAATATCTAAAATCTCCAGGATTCAGCGGCGAAACGGGAATTTAACGCTTGGCTTCTCCTACCAATTCGTTGGTGGCATTGCTGGTGGGCCTTTGATAACTCTAAAAGAATAAAACAAGCTGCTGGATTTTCGCATCGCTATTTTCTCCCAGATGTCAAGAAGAAGGTATTGGTAACGAGGCAAACGGTCATCACGACAAAGCCATATATCACCAGTGCAAGACTGAGTTTTCGAAGAAGGCCTCGTTTCCAGTGTCTCGTGCTGCGTCTCAGGATGCCGCTTGAAGAGAGAAGTCCACTCCCACCAAGAAGACCGCTTCCGGCAACCGTTTCGTCGTCAGAATCATTTCCCAGGTCCTCTGTACAAGCTTCGTCATCCTCTTTCATGAGTCGTTGATGAAGTGCGGATTCTGGAGAGGATATTTTATAATAGAAAAGCCCAGGCAGAATGAAGCTGATGCTGGTGCTTCCGGTACTACCGACATACGCAAGAACAGTCTCGAGGGAGGAAACAGTCATAGCAACGATATAGCTCAACACAATAATGACAGTAGTGATGGCGGCGAAGCGGGTGTCGCCCATTCCATCTGGTTCCTTGTTTGGTCGAGGTAAAAGAGGGTTACGGTTCGGAGAAACATTCGAGGAGCCGGATGAGCCTTTTCCATTCCAGCGCCATTTCAGGACTGCGTCGACAGATGCTCGGCAAGGGTGCATCTGCAAAGGATAAGAAAACATCACGAGGAGGACAATAGCAGCACGGGCAATATTCGAACTCAAAGATGGGGCGTACATTCCTACGATGTTGCCTTGGATGGCGTCGCCGAAAGATAGGTATCCTGTAATGGCAACAAGAATATAGGTGGACGCGGCAGTCCCGATGCTGGCTGCGATCACACTGGTGGTTCGGAAATGACTGTTGTTAGAAATTTCGTTAAGAATAGAAAACATCTATGCAAATGATTAGCCAATCCGTAAGACTTGTATTTGACGGCGATCCATACATTCTGGTGACAAGTATAGGCAAAAACAATAACGGGGAAGACACGCAAGGTCGGTATTATGCCCTCCCATTCAACAAATCTGATAGGACTCCGGTTTTCCATTGTATCTCCCTTTATGAAGTGCGCAACGACGAGAATAACTAGGTAGCCAATCGAAATTAGGGCCACAACGCTGGTATATTTCAACGAATCTAGTCGACGCAGAAACGAAATTGGAATGATGACCAGCCTATGGCAAATGACTCGTTAGCAATGGCGGATTTCTCAAGAATGCGCATACGGAAAAGGTATACATGAAAGCAGTCACCCAGAAGTGCCTGTCTAAAAGAAAGCTCATGGTTGTGTCACCGACAAATCCCTCCACTACTCCGGGCATGAGGTCACCAATGATAATCAGATAGCTGACACCAACACCAAAGCACTTGATGGCAATCGCAGCGTCAAAAATAACAGATGCATTCGGATATGTAATCTGGGACAAGGCAAAGAAAGAAGCGGAGCCTCGCTCCAAGTATTCTGCACATCTTGTCTGTAGGTACAGTCCAAAGCCAGCGGTCAGCCCCGACCACAATATCACGAAGATCCCCAGCGTAATTCCCATCCGTGATAAAGCATGAGGCATGGCTAGGACACCGGCACCCACGACTACAGCGTGTTAGCCATGCATTGCGGCAACGGGGCACGTGTCGGTTCCCTCGAACTTACTTGTGTTCAGGAGGTTGATGACGCTGCTAATCCAGCTCGCTTGGCCGCCAAATCCGACATCTCGCTTCCCTGTATAGCGACTAGACGGACAATTAGCCATGGGCTTTGCAAAAACGAAGGCGAGTTTGGGAGCAAGACGACGTACCGACGGGAACGGGAGGGATGAGAACTCCCAGCAAAGACCCCTCCGACGGCGACTTCATTATCCATGACTTCCAGACAGCGTAGACTGCCAACAGAGCAATTCAACAGCACAGTGGCGGTTCGATGGTGGTTGGTGATGGCGTCTGTCAGGCCAAAGGCATCCTGGGCGGGAGTGGTTTCGCACGCCCTTGATGCGACGGGTAGGAGTCTTGGATTCCGGCGGCACAGTGAGACGGTTAGTCGGGCGTCTGGTCTGAAGATGCGCAGGCGGCAATGACAGCAATGGTATAAAAATACAGCGTCGCTGGCTGGTGAGCTGGGCTGTGACGAGCTGTGCTTTTGCTGTTCGTGATCCGACGTGAGCGGAGCCGCTTCGGTGGTGAATCCGGGGGGCGAGTCTGGGCCAATCGAAAGTGGCCGCAAGACCGCCCGCCTACCCGCCCACGAAACCGCGACAGCTGCGTCTACGAAAGACAGGCGCACACAGAGAAGAGAAGACTCGACGGCCTCCCGCCAAGCGGCCCGCCTGGCACTGTCGCTGGGCTGGAGACGCCGTGGCTACCTCCGCGCCGCACTGCACACAACGGCCTCCCTTCGCGTCCACCGTCGACACCGCCCGTCCATTGGAACGCCAGCATGTTACACTACATGGCGTCTGGATGAGCCCGTCAGGCCGTCCCAAGCGCTGATCCGGCTCTGCGAGCAAGTTCAGGCTACCCGAAAGAACCCGGAGCCATGTCCGCCGGCACTCGCTTCTCGACCGCCAAGGAGACTGAAGGATGAAGCCATACGGAGTACACGCATTCTCGGACCACAATAATAAATATTCTGAACGCTGTCCCGGTTCGAGCGGGGTTGATGGCATCTTTTAGTGATGAACCTTGTGCGGGTTTTGCTATCTTTGGTATATCAAACCCCCTCGTCGTGGCCACCACACTACAAACCAACTTTACCCAATCCAGGCAATCAGTTCCTCGATTTTCCAGACATTCAATGCTACGTGTGTACCTACGGTACTGCATCCAACACTCGTAATGTATTTGGCCGTTGGTCGGACTTTGGACAGGTGCGCGGCTACTGATCTAACATGCAAAGACCGGCCGCTCAAATCAACCACTAGGCATACAGACATGATGATGAGATACCGGAGTACTCGGAACTATGGCCCATAGTCCCCACTGCAGACTCCATACCGTGTCCATTTGACCTGCTTCAGGTGCCGTTTAAGCTTGCTGAGCCCTCTTGGCTTGCCAACACCGAGAGCCAGCCGAAGCTTGGATCCTCCCGGAAAGTAAAGAGGCACCCTATGAGTGTAACACGTCGAATCCAGAGCCGCGCAGAGGAGTCAACTCCGCGGTCAGTGTTGCATCCATCAAACTCTGAAGGCTGCGTATCCGTTCTTCGGGGATATTTATATTTGAGGCGCTTAACGGGTTCAAAGAACTCGTCCAAAACCCTCTTGCTTATCCACTACTTACATAAATATTTGCTGAGGATATGGCGCTGCCCCGCGCACTTCGTCATTTGAACGCTCGATATGCTTCTACAGCAACACAAACAACAAAAGCTGCCGGAGACATTTCGTCTGTTTTTCCTAGTCTAAGGCCTGACTATAAACCAGAGCCTCTGCCTGACCGCTTTAAGTCACTCAAGGCGCAGATATTCCAGCGTAACGCCGACGCCTTAACGCGCAGCTGGCCCCGACTCCTTTCAAGCATAAAGACTGAGGTTGACGAGGTTACTGTTCAAGGAAACAAGGTGTTCTCGGCTGCTATGGGCATTGAAAGGGTAGAAGCTGATTTCCTTTTTTCTAGGTCATCCCTTCAGTTGATTTTCAGGACCTGAGCAGCGGAAATGTCACCACCCAGACGCTTGCAGATATTCAACGACGAGGCGCGGTTGTCATCCGGAACGTATTATCAAGGTCCTTTGCGCTGGACCTCAAACAACGGGCGAGAGACTATATAGCAGAGAACGAGGGCAAAGTTAAAGCATTCCCTGCTGATAAACCCACTGTCTATGAGCTATACTGGTCCCCGTCGCAGGTTGAAGCCCGCGCCCATCCAAATATGCTAGCCACCCAGCGATTCTTGCATAGCTTGTGGCATTCATCAGACCCTTCCACGCCCGTGTCCTTCAAATATCCCGTTTCATACGCAGACCGGCTGCGCATTCGGGAGCCTGGAGACTCAAAATTCAGCCTTGGGCCACACGCTGACGGTGGCTCTTTGGAACGTTGGGAAGATCCCGAGTATTCAAAAGTATATTCTGAGATCTTAAGAGGCTCTTGGGAGGAGTATGACCCATTTGATGCCAAGCATCGTATCAAAGCAAACATGAACTTGTACAACGGAGCTGGTGCCTGCTCCATGCTTAGGTTTTTCCAAGGTTGGCTTGCAATGTCGGATACTGGGCCGGGCGAGGGGACGCTTCGTGTGTGCCCCATGATCAAGCAGAGCACCGCATATACCATTCTCCGCCCCTTTTTTGACACAAACACCTCATCCCCCGTGAACGACTCGACCTTTCCCGGCGCCGTTCCAGGAGCTTCACAGGAGTACTCTGAAGAAAGCCACCCACATCTGGATCTTTCTACCACCATGGTTCCCATGCCCACTGTCCAGCCGGGCGACTATGTCGCCTGGCACTGCGATGCCATCCACTCCGTTGACAAAGAACATCGCGGGAAAGGAGATTCCAGCGTTCTTTATATCCCTGCTGCTCCTCTCTGCGAAATGAACGCCGAATATCTTAAAAAGCAAAGAGAAGCAGCACTTGCATACTCCCCGCCCTGGGACTTCCCTGACGCCGGAGGCCCAGGTGAGCACGGCTTTCGTGGAACTGTTGACTGGTCCAGCCTGAATGCTGCTGGCTTGCAGGCGATGGGTATGGGCTCCACACCATGGAAGATTGAGAGCGGAATGACCCAGGGCGAAGTTGAAGCCGTCAAGATGGCAAATAAGATCTGCTTTGGGAAATGAGGGGCCTGTCAGATGCATTCTGTGCTAGGCAAGTCGATCTGATGGGCAAAGATGCTCCGCTGGTAATTACGCCCGTATGTGTCAACAGTAGCTTCAATATTATAATCACATTGAGCATAATAAATACACGCCGAAACGGGCTCTCATTGTCGGACTATTGCCGGCTGTATTTGCTTTGAAACGAGAAGCATGGTACAAGGGAACCACATGCCTGCAGAACAACCCTGATTCAACTTAAGTAGAATTGCTTTCAAGAGTCTAAGAGCTGAGTAAATGACACTGAGCAGGGGCTATGTAATAAAAATATCCTTCGAAATCGCCCCTAAGCTTTGTGATGACACCGGATTAAGACGCACCGCTTAAGGGCTACTGTATCATGAGAAGCGTTGATGCGATTTCTAGCGGCCCAAGTGCTCCGATCCATATGTACATACTGTGCCGTAGACTCCAAACCCGATATCCTCGAAAACGCCGCTCAAATGGTTAAAGCCCAAGAAGGATGAAAGTCCGAAACTGCCTGTCAACCGTTGCAAATGCATAAATGCACGCCAGCTATGCATCTAACAAGAAAAGAAAAAGAATAACGTCAACAGCATGACGAAGTCATATACCTGCCGTATCAGAGCTATTCTTCAGCATCGCTGCTAGAATCATTGTCCTCGTGTGAATATTCTATGTCGTCAGAGTCGCTCCCACCAAAGATATCGTCATCGTCGCCGCAATCGCTATCAATCCAGAAGTCTTCGTCCACGATTTCTGGCTTTTCAGGCTCGGCCATGGAAGTTTCATGCGTGGGCATCACGAAGCCCTCGGGAATATCAAGCTTGGATTTTTCCACATCCCTGCTAACCCGCACCTTGTACTCGTTGGGATTGTCTCTAAGCATGACGCTCGCGCTGACATTCGCGGGCGAATTGATCTCGGCATCGTCAAGTAGGGAAATGATGGAGATTAAGACGGATTCGACACGCTGGGCGGGTGACCAACGCTCTGAGGCGCTTTCGCCCGACAGTTCGTCATCGCCGGGCGCATGAAGGATGGAGATGCAGACCTCGCCATTTTCATAGACATTCGGGTGGAATATTGGTTTAAGAAATTTAAAAGCTAAGGGGGGAAAAAAAGTCAGATTTCGAGTTTGTGAATCTTTCCCGGTTTTATCGAACTCTAGCCTCGCCCTCCAGAGAGGTTGTTTTGGAGCCGTGCTGGCCAATCCCTTGGGCCATTCATATACTCACTTGGTGGAGAATACGGATAGTTGCGCGGGAACACCAGGCATCCCTTGAAATACCCTCCGTAATAAAGGGAGTCCGGGTTCAGAACAATCAGGGCAACGTTCCAATTGAAAATGTCATCGTTTCTCAACTGCGAAGACTGACTGTTAGCTAAATGCTAGGTACGGACAATCGGAACAACACTCACTTCGATATCCACCCATTTCTCTTTGGACAGGATTTTGAACTCGTTGACAAGGATCCTCTCTGCCATGGGGGGGATTTGTCCTACTCTGGGCTGGCGTGGCGGAGGCGGTGACAGTGGGGTGTGAATTCAGAAGACACAAGGGGAGCAGGCTGGCAAACTGTTCAGTGAGGAGTGTGCTGGCCGGGAGCATGCTCTGTAGAGAAGTTGGGAGAGAGAAGCCACAGGGGAAGGACAGCGGATTAGAGTTGTGTTGCAGGCGGTTCTGCCGCAGTGACGGAATTGGTCTCATTCACCGCCGCCAGTGCCCTGCAGCCGCGGTGCCGGGCCAATCAGCCATGCAGAAGGGGCGAGCCGCCACAAGGGTGAATCACGCGCACAGATTGAAGGATTGCGCTGCCGGCGCGCCAGTCGGCTGATCCTCGCCTCTTGTCGGGGTGATTGCTGCTTTGGTGGCTGCCACCCCATTTCGATAGCATGTAATAGCTACTCCGTACTCCGTATATTCTTCCGATCCCTTAAGGCCGAGTGAGCCGGAGTGATACGTCGAGCGCGCAAGAGACCCGCGCGCGCCACACCCCCGCCAGCCACCGCCAGCCGCCACATCAGACTTTTCAGCGCTGACTAATACACACGTGGCGAGTGATGTAATTAGTTAAGCGGCTTGGCGTACGCGATCTCCGGTTGTCAGTCAACGCGGCAACGGCTCCCGCCTGCAAGCTCTATGTTGGAAAAAAGGCCTGTCACTTGTAGCTGACGGATCGGCTGGCCTGACGGACTCTTGGGTATGTCGACACACAGAATTTCCTGTCCATGGCGTTGTCCCTGTGATGGACGTGCGCTCCCGGCTTGGCTGCTGGGCATCGTCATGGGGGCTTCTCACCTGGTCCCCAACGTCGATTCAGGTGCTTAACTTGCCCTCTTGAATAAAAGGTAGTTGACAACGAGACTCTCAAAATTCACAGGCTAAACAGTCACTCTCCCTTAACCATAAGTGGCATGGTGGACAACAATCTGCTCTGCATGATCAAGGGGTGGTGAGCACTGTCTTGCAGAGCTAGCGGGTGATGCTCTGAATGTGGTGCTAACAGTATTAGCTGTGAAAATTATCATAAAAATGTGCTCTGTAGGGAGCTTGTAATAATCAGATATCCTTTTGAGAAACATCGGGCAAGTGTGGGCGGAAGAATGCATGTACAGTACATAGATACTTATATTTATCAATTTCCATACTACACTTGCCACCTCTAGGTACCTACGCAAATTTCATCATTAGCAGCTGCAAGCGACCGCATATGTACCCCAAATCAAATAATCTAGCCAATCATATATAGTAACCGGATGGCACTTCCAGTAAAACCGGTTTGCTGCCACAGTTGCCTAGATTTTGATAGATATGGTTTCAAGAACTCAGGACTAGAGGACATTCATTTGGTAAAGACTAAAGACCAGATGAACTCTGAAACATGTACGTGTGTTTATGTCTGCTGTATGATGTATAGTTCAAACGACATCCAATCGTTTTTTTTTTTCTTGCATTAGCTGAAGATAGGTGTGGTCACAGTTTTGTTTGCCTCTTATTCGACCTGATCCAGCAGGATATATCATGGGATAACTCAAGCTAATAGCAAAGTGTTCTCTGTGTTCAGAAGAAATGATTGTGGAATAAGCAGACTTTGACTGCCATGGCTACAACAAGATCGACGGAATTTGTTCACAACCTTTGCCTATCAAACCAAAGCAAACATCATCTGCAGCTTCAACCGTTTGATCTCACACGGCACACGGTTGCAGCTCTCTGTGAAGCGCGCCAGGTATACTTGTATTGCTGCAGGACGCATGCCATATTACGAATTTCGACTCATTATTCCTGGAAGGGCGCGTTTCCCTCTCAGCCCGTGCCGTTTTCTCGTATCAAAGTCAAGTGGGGTCAACAAATTGAGTTTATCCAGTCTGGTACCCCCCTGCATCCTTGCAGCGTCCCAGGCCGTCGAGTTGCTGAAGCAATTCTCTAGATAGCCGGAGAGGAAATTCCTGCCTGTGTCTTTTTGGTGTTTTGTGGGTGTTGTCAGTTGCACGAGCCCGGTCGAGGATGTGTTTCCCAGGCCGAACACTTGTTTGTGCCGTGGATGGGATCAAAGAGCGTAGTGATCAATATTCTGTCTCATCTATACCCGATCAGCCGCCACTTGAGTCATCGGTGGAGCAGGGACGGTTTTATGGCCCGAAGAAGCAAATTTCGAAAAATGCTTGAGAGCTGTGGCGCTAGGTAGCTTCCCCTCGATCACCAGCGCTGCCTGGAGGCCTTGTTTGTATGTACTCCGTATATAGTCGGAATCCACGTAGGGCGTAGTTCGTCCGCACTGTCCGCCGCGCGGTGCTGCACACACCCCATTAGTTAGGTTTCGTTGGAGACGGTGTGGAGTGCAAGGCGACGGGGATGGCTGGGAGGATCCAGCTGTGACTCAAGCTTCAAGCGATCATCCCCTGGCATAGAGTTCGACCTAAACAACAACCCAAGAACCCGCCTCGCCCATTGAACGCATTGCTTCTTCCTCCATCTTCCGCCGTCTACTCCGTACTCTGCTGCGAGGCCCGGTTGGATTTGCAATCTCCCAATAAATATCTTTCTGCCGGATTTTTTTTTTCCCTGAGGCTACCCCTAACAAGAAAGATTCGTTCTTCTGTCGAGACTTCGGTGCGCTGACATGAGCTCGCGATAATCAGCACAAGCAATTTCCTCACCTATCCCTTTCCTTCGCTGACGCTCTTTGATACTATGTTGAATATTAATAAAAGTCTTTTGTATTCTTCGTGTTGAACCCTCCCGATGTCCTGTCAGCAGTCCTGAACCCGGGGCTGTCGTAAACCGCTGCTCTCCTTGGGCCTTCGGCTTTTTCGCGACTCCAATCGCAAAGCCCCTCACCCAACTACTTACAATGTCGCACCTCTGCAAAGGCCCGATCTGGTTTGCGGACGATTTATCCCTTTGCTTCCAAGAAAGGTAGGCTGCTCGTTCAATACCCCCGCCTCCAATCCCGGCATTTAACCGGAAATACAGATACCTGTCTCTGGTCTTTCCGTTGGTCTCTTGCGGCGTGTCGCTACTGGTTATAATTGGCCATCTTGTTTGCAATGGGGCGTTTTTACGCCGGAATAAAGGCTACAAGCCGCTGCCCCATGAGGTATCTCGAAATGGCGAGTTTGAGGCAGAAAGCGAGGAAGCGCCGGAAGAGGATGATGATGAAGAAAGCGATTTGATGCTCCACAAGGCCATCAGCAAGACGACAGAAGCAGCGCTGGAAACGGATACTCCTCGCGGCAGATGGCTGTGGTTAATAATAGAAATGCTTGCAGTGGCCGCGCAGGTTGGCGTCAATGCAGGTGCTGTGGCATCTCTCTCGACGCATGGCAAACCCACCCTTCCGCCGATCGCTCGCCTTTCAGCCTGGGTATATATTTTGATTCTCGTAGCAACGAGGGTTTTTCTCTCCATACGTGAACGCCCCTCCAGCCTCAAGGTCTGGAATCATACAACCACACTCTACGGGCTTCAATGGCTGTTTATTATCTTCATATTTCGATCTATTCTCATTCACCCGGACCGGCACCCTGATAGATTGTGTGTGGCCGTCGATTTCGGGCTCTCCTCCTTTCTCTTTTTACTAGCGACCACTACAAGGAAAGGCAACAAAACGGTGCTGGTTCAGCATGAGGAGGATTTGGTACCGCCTAAAGATCAATTCGCGAGTATTCTTTCTCTCCTTAGCTTTTCCTGGATGGATTCGATGATTTGGCAGGGGTACAATAAATCCATGGAAATGTCAGACGTTTGGAATTTAAAGCCAAGCTATCAAGCGGCTGCAGTGATCATGAGTTTCCGACGAGCAAAAAGCACGTCGAAGCTAGCATGGAGATTATTTCGCTTCTTTGACCGTACACTCTTGATTCAAGGAATCTGGACCATATTCGCAGGGTTGTTCACATTTTTGCCAACATGGCTACTCAAACTTATACTTGAGTACGTCGAGGATCCTGAAGGGACGCCCCGCAACGCCGCTTGGTTCTACGTGATGCTCATGTTTGTTTGTGGACTTATACAAGCTGTCGGCGATGGCCAATCGCTGTGGCTGGGACGAGAGCTTAGTGTCAAGTTTCGAGCGATCATCATCGGCGAACTATATGCCAAAGCTTTGAGAAGGAAAGCTGGCGCAGCTGTCTCCGGCCTCGCGGACGAGGAAGAAGAAAGCGAGCAGAAGAAAAAATCAAAAGCTTCCAAGAAGAAAAATAAGAAAAACACTCAGGAAGACGAGACGGAAACCGACGCGGATGGGGACTCCGAACTCTCTGCGAACATTGGTAAAATTATCAATCTCATGGCTATCGATTCGTTCAAAGTCAGCGAGATCTGTGCCTACCTCCACTATCTCTGGGCAAGCGTACCGGTCCAGATCATCGTCGCGATTATATTACTATACAAGATTATTGGCTTCAGTTCCTTTGCTGGTATAATTCTGATGCTCCTCATAGCTCCATTCAATATGTTTATTGCATCTCAATTCCGACATGTGCAAAACAGTATTCTGGCTGCAACTGACTCCAGAATTCATGCCACTAATGAGGCATTGCAGAACATTCGTATCATCAAATACTTTGCGTGGGAGCAACGATTCGAGGAAATTATAAATGAGAAGAGAAAAGTGGAACTCAAATATTTACGCCGACGCTATGTTCTCTGGTCCGTTGCTGCTACAGTTTGGTACGGGACACCATTTATCATCACCTTTGCCACTTTCTTTATCTATACAGTTGTGGAAGGCAAGAAGTTGGTGCCGTCAATTGCTTTCCCAGCATTATCGATGTTTTCTCTACTCCGAGTTCCTCTGGACCGACTGGCAGACATGGCCGCCCATATACTTGAATCCAAGGTTTCTATTGACCGGGTTGAAGAGTTCTTGAATGAGGAAGAAACGGAGAAATATAACCAGTTGCGCAATTCCAGCTATGAGGAACCTAAAATCGCACTTGAGAAAGCGACCCTCACGTGGGGTTCGAAGACCACGGATAAGTCGCAGAGCAGTGAGGTTCACCGGGAAGCGTTCCGTCTTATTGATGTTGATGTTACGTTTCGACTTGGAAGGCTTAATGTCATTGCTGGCCCAACTGGCTCTGGCAAGACCTCCATGTTGATGGCATTGTTAGGTGAAATGAGACTTGTTGCGGGAGCAGTACATCTGCCCGGTGGGACAAGTGATAGAGCTGATCTACAAATTGACCCAGCAACTGGTTATACTGAGAGTGTGGCATATTGTGCTCAAGAAGCTTGGCTTGTCAATGCCACTATTCAGGACAATATTTTGTTCGCATTGCCCTACGACCATGGCAGATATAACGCCGTGATTGAGGCGTGTGGTTTAGAAAGAGATCTTGAAATTCTTGATGCTGGAGATGAAACCCTTGTTGGTGAGAAAGGAATCAGTCTTTCGGGTGGCCAAAAGCAACGGATCTCCCTTGCACGGGCTATATATAGTAATGCCCGGCATCTCCTCCTCGATGATTGCCTTAGCGCTGTGGATTCTCACACTGCCAAACATATATTCCAACAAGCTCTGATGGGACCGCTAATGATGGGACGTACTTGCATCCTCGTCACCCACAACGTTTCTCTCGTAATGCAACGATGTGATTACATGGTGGTTCTTGATAATGGCCGAGTTACTGCCCAAGGCTCGCCTCAGGACGTCGCCTCTTCCGGTGCCCTTGGTGCGGAGCTTCAATCGCGACCCTCATCGGCAATTCCTTCCCGAGGAGATTCACAAAGTGATTCACCTGCTGAAGAAATCAACATTGAGCAACTTGAGGATGGAAACAATTCCTCGAGTAAACCAAACAACCAAAATGCAACAAATGGCACAGTAAAGAAGCAAAAGAAAAAGTCTGGCTCTGGAGCAATTACAGAGGAGGAGAAAGTGACTGGCAGCGTCCCAATGTCAACTATAGTTATGTATCTGCGGGCCATGGGTCCATGGTATTTCTGGACCATTGCCCTACTAGTCTTTTCACTTCAACAACTCGGATCCCTTGCCCCCAATATCTGGATTAGGAGTTGGGCAAATGCTTACCAAAATACCACCGACAAAGGCAGCGCAGCAGGCTTTACAAACCTTCATGTTACCAGCCTTAGCAGTGGTAACATCCCACGGCCATATTGGTGGCCTTCGCACATTAAGAAGCTTATCAGCAGCTCCTCTGGCGACGATAAGGTCAACATCAGCTACTACCTCACTGTCTACGCGCTCTTGGCTTTTGGCTACATCATTATATCCTTCTTCAGAGAACTAGTGCTCTTCTGGGGTTCTCTACATGCTTCTTGGAAAATTCACGGGTGGTTGCTACGTGCAGTTGCTCATGCGAAGTTTAAGTTCTTCGATTCGACTCCATTGGGTCGCATAATGAACAGATTCTCCAAGGATATTGAGGCAGTCGACCAAGAAGTTGCCCCCACTGCCATTGGCATGCTTCATTGCATGGCGTCGGTTCTTATGATTGTTATTTTGATATCCATCATTACTCCTGGCTTCTTAATCGCCGGCGCATTTATTACATTATTATACTGTGGTCTTGGAGCCCTCTATCTCAATTCTTCTCGGGATTTAAAAAGACTCGAATCGGTGCAGCGTAGCCCGCTGTACCAACAATTTGGGGAGACATTGAATGGCGTCGTCACTATCAGAGCTTACGGTGATGGTGCGCGATTCATCCTGGATAACCATCGCCTAATTAACACATATAACCGGCCATATCTCTATCTATGGGCTAGTAATCGCTGGCTGGCTTTCCGAGTCGATATTACTGGTGCCCTGGTGTCATTCTTTTCTGCTGCTTTTATTCTTCTCAACGTTGGCCGAATTGACGCCGGTGCTGCTGGTTTGTCATTGACGTACGCTGTTACTTTCACTGAAAACATTCTGTGGTTAGTCCGGCTGTACTCCGAGAATCAGCAAAACATGAACTCGGTTGAGCGAATTGAAGAATACCTTAAGGTTGAGCAAGAAGCACGTGCTATCGTTCCTGAGAATAGACCTCCAGGTAATTGGCCAAGCCAAGGCGCTGTCAGGTTTGTTGAATATTCCACCCGGTACCGCTCTGGCCTCGATTTAGTCTTGAAGAAGATTAGCTTTTCAGTTCAACCCGGCGAAAGAGTCGGGATTGTTGGCAGAACCGGTGCTGGTAAAAGCTCGCTAGCCCTTGCTCTGTTCCGTGGCCTTGAAGCGGAAAATGGGAAGATCATCATTGACGACGTGGACATTGGCCTAATTGGCCTACGAGATCTTCGAGAGGCCATCACCATCGTCCCCCAGGATCCAACCCTTTTCACTGGCACAATTCGAAGCAATCTAGACCCCTTTGGGCTCTTCACGGATGAGGAAATATTCACAGCCCTCCGAAGAGTCCATCTGATAGGTCCCGCGACATCTACCCAACAATCTGATACCGAATCTATTTTACAGCAAAATCGTCCCGCGATATCATTACTAGATAATGAGCCAAGTGGCTCTGAAACCGATTTCTCTTCCCTTGCTCGTTTCCGTGAAAACAAAAACATCTTTTTGAGTCTCTCCTCTCCAATATCAGAATCCGGCTCAAACCTATCCCAAGGCCAGCGCCAGCTCCTCTGCCTCGCCCGTGCACTGCTCAAGTCGCCCAAAGTGCTCATGATGGACGAAGCCACCGCATCGATCGACTACGCAACAGACGCCAAAATCCAAGACACACTTCGAGAACTGAAAGGCAACACGATCATCACCATCGCGCATCGCCTGCAGACAATCATCGACTACGACAAGGTTCTGGTCCTGGACCACGGCGAAGTTATCGAATTCGATGGGCCGTGGCAGCTGCTGAATAAAACCGACGGCGTGTTTAGGAGTATGTGTGAAAACAGCGGGAATATGGATTCGCTAATGGACGGTGCTAAAAAGGCTTGGGAGCAGAAGAGGTTGGTTGATGATTCATAAAAGGTACATAGTTTGAGCGATGTATTCGTTTCTTTTTTGTGTTATTTTTTTTCCTCTATTAAGACAGACCACCTCTACGGTACTATTCCAATCTTTTGTAATACTTTTCCTTAAATCTTGCTACTTCATTCTCTATTCCACTCCTTCCGCAAACCACTAGAAAATTCCTGTAAGTATACCAAATAGCACTACAACGGATACGTGTCTCTAAACACTCCTTACCTTAACACGTACATAGCACCCCTCGCCTTAATAGATATCTATAGGTCAAATAAACGACATTGAAAGGAGATGATACAAGATACATGCAAGGGAGAATTTCATTTACTGTTATTCTTATTTTTCGGTCCTCATTCAAAGTCTATGGTGTTTTCCCGAACGAACAATCAAGCCTCCCATGTCTGTCAATGGCGACCGATCATGCTAAACCTTTTTGTTCGTACCGCACAACTACCGGACGCGAGCCATAGCAAAACGAGCAACCAGACAAGCACGATTGTCATTTGTAAACAACGCGCTTTAAAGATCCAGCAGGCTAACCTCCTCCTTATCACTTCGCTGACCTGAGGCATTCGAGTAATACTGTACATAACGGTAGCGAGCCGTGCCGGCAATATCTGGGGCACGTGTTACCGTGCTGTTTTGTAAAGCAGAAGACGTGTTGACAATATCTTCGCCAAAAAGAGACGCGAAGGCTTCTTCATCAGCAACCCTCAGCTGCTCCTCCACGGCCAATCTCTGTGTTGCAAGTGCAAGCTGTGCATCTGCTTTCCTCGCACCACCGTTTGCAAAGTCACGATATCTTTGCACACTTGCGACTTGTTCGGCCTTCGAATCTGGCCTCAAGTTTTCAACACGTTGTAATGCTTGGATTTCGACTGGGAGTTCGCGTGCCTTCGGACAGTCGCATTCGCAAGGGATAAAGCACGGCTTCTCGCATTCATGGCCACAAGGAAGAAGTCGACGACAAGGTCTTTCACAGCGAACGCTTTCGTGGGACATTCTGTTAAGACTGTGTCAGCATGAAGAATTGGGGCCACTAGGGGGTATTGGAGTCCTTACGCGTGGCAACGCAATGGACATTTGTGTCCACAGTCTAATGTATCCCCGCAAGGCGATGAACAACCCCCATCGGACTTCGCCCAAGTCCTGGGGTCTGGTTAGACAAATCAGCAACCACTGCAATATTACCATAGAAGAAGAAATAAGAAGAGAGACGAACCTCGGACAAGGGTTCTAACGTTATGCTTAGAACAGGTCACGGGGATGAAGTACCCTATCCGCTTTGGCTCTTGCCGCATGATCTGAGCAACCTGCCACCAGAGAGCGCTGTGTATGGAAAGGGCCTCAGCATTGCCGAAGATATAGAAACCGCGCTTCGCCCGCGAGAGGGCTACACAGACCCGGTTTTCGACGGAAAGGAAGCCAATGTGACGGTCGTTACTGCGGACAAGTGAGAGAAGAACAACCTCATTCTCTTCGCCCTGATAAGAATCAACAGTGACCACCTTAACATACTGTCCTTGCAACAGTGGATGATCTTTCAGTGCCTTGAGAATTTTTTTTCGTTGCCCGTTGTAAAAGGTCAAAACAGTGATATGCTCAACTGGCACTCCATTCATATGGAGATAGACAAAGAAGCCAACAACCATCTTTGCTTCATCCTCATTGTACTTGGATAGAAGACTGTCTGATGACTCAGGCCAGACATGACAGAAAAAGTATGAGTTCACGCCACCCATACCAGGAATGTCAGGTCGGTTTAAGACTGCCTCGTGGTCTTCCAGGTTATCGTAAATCGGAGCCAGAACTCTTCGTATCTCAGGTGCCATACGTCTCTGTTTTGTTAGACACTGAAACTCCACATTATTATTCACTAGTCTTTCAAACATTGAGACCCCGAGAAAGTAGGGTTCCCCTTCTAGCTCTTTAAGAGCACATTGACCGTGCAGTTGTTTGTGATCGCCAACTAAGATAAGGTGTTCCAAGCTTTCAACACAGGCAGCGGTAACTGGCGCCTCAAGAATCTCAGCAGCCTCCTCAATCAAGATGATTTTTGGCTTGAGGCTAGAGATAAGAGCCCTATACTTGCTAAGGCCGGTTGTTGTCATGCCAATCAGTTTTGCTCCCTGGAGGATGACTGAATCCCGTTCCCATTTTCCAACCTTTAAGTTGGAGGCCGTGGTTGCATAGGCATTTGTCAGAAAACGCAATTTATCACGGATTATATTTTTGGCCTGGTTCTGAAGAATGGTGTACGCACGACCACGAGCAAAGGTGGGGATTTCCCACATATCCTGGTACTTGAGGTATTTTTCACGGACTACTTTATCACCGGCATAGTTTCGTCCGGTATACCCTTCTCTGAGGGGCATATAATGCCCTCTGAGGCTCTCAAAATCATCATCATCAAGCCCCTGTTCAGCTTCGAGCTCCTTCAACTGTTCGTATTCCAGGTCAACCTCGTCTTCAGCAAATCCGAAATGTTCTGTCTTGTAAGTGACATTGTAGGGAACCCTCTGTTCATCAAGCCAGGCAGACATCGGGTCCACCTGATCACCGGCGTGAAACCACCCCTCTGCTCCATGGATTAGGGATTCATGTTGTTCCTGTGTAATAATACCGAGACTGAGAAAGAAATCGGATTGAAGAGGCTCCGTGCAACTTTCAAGCGCAAACGGTGCAATCAACTCTGTGAGTTGATCAACAATGGCCCTGAGCTGATTCCTTGCTGGGCGTAGAGTCCCTCCAGGGATATATGGAAGATTACTCTTATTTCTTAATTCAAACACCGTTCGCTTTTTAATCTCGGGATCTGTACTTCGACCACCTAACCGAACATAATTATTCTCAAATTTTGCGACATGGCGAAGAAGCTGATCAAGCGCGTGATTTGTTTGCGCCGCGATAATGATTGGCGGGTCTCCAGGCAGCATGTTTGCAAGCAAAATCTTGATAGCAACAACAGAAATATATGTCTTCCCAGTTCCAGGAGGCCCCTGTATAATAGACAATTTTTTTGTTAAAATCTGCCTTAGTGCACGCCATTGGGATTGGTCCAAGCCTTCAGGCGGTGATGGCCACTCTTTTGATACATTGACAAGGGTCGTCGTATTTGATGTAGGATGGAGCTCCGACATGTTCATGATGGGATTCTTCATGATATATTCTGGTGTCTCGACGTTATTTTTGATGTCACAAATATATTCAGCGAGCGGAAAGCTATTACAGGGTTAACCACAGACACATACACAAAAGATATACTCAGCCCGGACATACCATTCCCTACTCATTTTTTGAAGGGCAGTGAGGGTATGCCTATGCGCCTCGTAGTACCCATTTCGCGCCTCAACCATGAGCCACTCCTGCTGACAATCAAAGTCTACGTCATCAGGGTTCGCGAAAAGAAGATCAACCTCACAGGGCTGGGCCTTGAGACCATCTAATGGGCGTGCCGCAACAATAGCAATGACACATTTACGTTGAAAGCCATCACTAGCAGGAGTCAATGCAACAATATTGCCGCTAATTAACCGCTTAGAATATTCCCAAACGATATTTTTGCCAGCCCGAACCGTGGAAAATTGCACTCTGACGGCAACACCAACATGGCTAAACGTCACACCAATTATATGCACCTGGGAGCCGTTATATGTTAGCTAAGAAGCAAGCATTAAATCTGATGAGGGCAAGGCATCACCTTTTCGTAAATGCAAATATCCAAGGTATCCTTCATACGCGGATCTTGACGAACATAAGCAACGGCATCCCTTAGAGGAGCTACCGCATCTTCACGAAGAAGATCATAGTGCGTTTTAAGATAGAGATGTTTCGATTGCCAAGGGCCAACGATCTTGTTGGGATTTAGAAAGACCGCATCACCAGGCTGAGAGCTGTCGCCAATACCGAGAATCTCAGCAGATGAGGGGATTTCCGGATTAGAAATCCAAGAGTGGTCTTTCGAGACGGCTTGGGTAGCATTTACATATGCTCTGATGTGTTTATTTAATGAGACAGCCGGCACCGGGTTGTGGGCGAGCAGCTTGGCCGATGGCCGCCCCATGAATCGAGGCCGCATCCAGGTGAGGATTATATCAACACTCCCTAGGCTCAGAATGTTACAGTAAGCACCCTGTTCTAGACAAAACAGAAGAGATTAGATGTAGAAAATGAGCAAAATGAATGAAGCAGAGACTGCTTTGCTTGTGTGGCCAGAGGAAGAGGAAGAGGATGAGAGGGGTGGCAGGAGGAACGAGAGAGAGAGGGAGAGAAAGAAAAGTGAGAGGCGAGGTGAAAGAAAACAAACAATGCCGAGCAGGGAAGCTCCGACAAGAAGGAGACAGTGAATCCGAGCGAGTGGCTGCTCGGCGGGCAGTTGTCACAGCAAAGCTTAGCAGAGAGAGCACAGAGAAGATGTTGCGGAAGGGGACAACGGCCTGGCACGGTATGTTTGCAGCAGTAAGAGGGCTGCACATAGGCTGTATGTGTCCAGGCAGGCACAAACAGCCAGCAAAGTGCCAGCCCAGCCAGCACCACACCTTAGAGACTGCAGCTCCTGGGCTGGGAGAGAACAGGCCTTTGGCATCCAGGAAATAGCCGGGATGGCCGCATCTTTACAAACAAAGGTGTTTCTTGCACCTTCTGCCGGCGGCTGGTATGGTAGTATGGTATAGATAGACTGGCCACTCGCTGCTAAAGGCCCTACGGGATAGCATTATACCCTTCTGGCCTGCCTGGACGTCTCCCGTCGACCACGACGGCCGGTCTGTTGTCGCCGTCGCCGTCACTGTCGTCGTAACATCGCCAGGCTGCCGTCCGTCGCCCGCAGAACCTTAAATACGCTCAGCCGCCGGGAGAACAATAATCCGGCGCCCGACACGGCGAATCCATCGGCGGGCTCAGCGAGCAAGAGTCCCGCGCTGCAACGCCTGAAGTGATGTAGTGGATGGTCCGACCAGTAACTGCGCCCTGAATCATGCCTTCACTTCTAGAGGAAGAAGATGACCGTGATGTTGCCGGTGAGTCCCGGCCCTTCGCCGCTCGCTAACCCTCTTGCTCCCACCCATGCTCATAGCTCCCCAGGATCGCCAGACGGCAGCTCAGACAATGACATGGACGAAACAATGCGAGATCCCGACGACGGCGACGGTGACAACGATCCTGAAACCCCGTCCGCCTCCAGTATCGCCTCTGAAAGCCAGAGCGCCCAGAATCCGCAAGTCGTCCTGACCCAGCCCTCGCCCGCCGATGCCGCCGCCGCCGCCGCCCCCCCGCAGGACTCTTCGCTGCCTATTCGCCCAATCCCCCGGCCGGAGGTCCTGCAGGCGTTGAGCTATGATATAGTGCCTACGACCGCCGCGCCGCATAGCACCTCCATCAACGCCGTCACCGCCACGGCCGACATGCGGTGGGTGTTCAGCGGGGGATCTGACGGATACATCCGCAAATTCAACTGGGCCGATTCCATCAACAGCAAACTGATGCTGACCGTGGCGCAGAGGCACCCGTTTGTCGATAGCGTGGTAAAGGCCGGGGTACTGATGACCTATTGGGAAAACATGGACGGCAACGCCTTGTCCCCCGTCTACTCGTTGGCTGCGCAATCGGAAGGTCTCTGGCTGCTCTCAGGCTTGGAGTCGGGTGGCATCCGATTACAGTCGTTGAGACATGACGAAGGAAAAGAGATTGCTCTTCTTCAGCGACATACCTCTGCCGTATCGGCCCTGTGTTTGAGCTCCGATGAACAATATCTACTCTCCGGGAGTTGGGATAAAAAGGTATTGGACTGGGACTTGAATACCGGGCAGACTAGACGAGTATATGGGGCCTCTGTTGGGCAAATATCCGGGGTTGAAATTCGGCCGGAATCCTCTCTCCCTGTGCCACGAGAGACGGGTGAGTACCGGGTGACAAACGGAACATTTTCATCTAACAATGCCGCCAAGGAGACTTTTAGCTCTAACGCAGCTAATGGTGAGGTCAATCCTGATGCCACGACTCATGGACCAGACGAGCCAGTAAAGTCACCAGCAGATTCTCTCTTTGGTGACGACTCATTATTTGGAGACAACGATGCTCTGACTGGCGGCGCTTTCGGTGACGCAGCGGATGAGATGTCGCAAGCCATTACCAATGGAATACGGCAGGATCGTCAGGAACGTCAAGAAAAAGAGGCAGAGGAAGAGGCAAAAGCGCAGAAGGAGTCAGCTGCTCAATTAAACGGAGCATTGAATGACCAGTCTGCATCTGGACCTTCCCATTCAGCAGAAAGCCAGGAGCAACAAGCACCTCTTGCGCAGAACGGGAACCTCCCAAATGGTATTACAGAACCGCTGCTTAACGGCATCTCTCACTCCGAAGACTCCGGGTCGCCGAGCGTCTCCAAAACCATCTCAAGTGATTCCCTGGACACCGGATCTGAAATAATCAGAGATACCACCTTCCTCTGTGCTTCGATTGATGGGACGATACGTGTTTGGGATCGAAGGCAACCGGACCCAGTTGCTCGAATCGTTCCTCGAAATACCCCGCCCTGGTGTATGAATGCATGCTGGTCGCCGGATGGAAACTACATCTACGCAGGGCGTCGGAACGGCACCGTCGAAGAATATAACCTGCACAAGGGTCTGCGGGAACCGCAGCGGACATTCAAATTCCCGCAGGGAAGCGGCGCGGTGTCAGCACTTAAAGCAATGCCGAACGGACGACACCTTATCTGGTACGTAGTTTTGTCCCAATTTTGCTTCAGAAACGCTACGTTCTGCATTTTTGAACGCTAGAGCTAACATATATCCAGCGCCTCCCATGATATTCTTCGCCTCTACGACCTCCGAGACGAGCAGCCTTCTCGACACTCCACAGTACCCTTTCTCATTATTCCCGGCCATCGTACGGGCACGATCTCACAATTATATACTGATCCGGCATGTAGATTTTTGATTTCAGCCAGTGGAAATAGAGGCTGGGAGGGTGCGACCACAGAAGTGATGCTTGGCTATGAAATCGGCATTCCATCTCCCTAAGAAGCCCATCGCGCGAGGAGGGCGTAACTTTGGGGGTTGAACAAGGTGTTTTCTGGGCAGGGGGTTGGCTTCGATTTTTGCATCTATACCCTATCATTTATATCATTTCTCTGGCGCACGGATCTAAAGAAGACGAGCCAGTCGCTTCCAATGGCGTTTGAAGGTGCATTGATCTGTATATGCTGGCTTTTGAAGCTTGGATACATATAAAGAGAGTTTGTTTGATACCTCATAAGTCATACATTCAAAACTATTTTAAGTCCGTTTCTTCGTACACATACATTATCTGAATAAAAGAAAATATGCTGTAAATCCAACTCTTCATAGATGAACCATGAATTAATCAAAGAGAAGATAAAACCACCTGCACCTTTGGACCTCAAAATCAAACACTGAAAGCCACACAAAAATCACCAAAACTTCCATGTCAGGGTAAAAAATGGTATCATAAATCAACACAAATTATCAGCCTCCTCCGGTCCCCAAATACACATTAGTCACTGAGATCGATTCCCCCACATATCTTTTCCAGTTCTCTCCTCCATTCCAAATAATATACACTATTTCGTTCCTGCAGCCGATTTTTGCTCTTCTCGAAATACACATAGCTCGGCGATGCTCGAGGAGACTTCTGATTGTGCGTATCCAACGCACCCATCACAGAATCCACATAGCTTCGCCGCGCCTTCGTGCTGAGTACATGAGACCGCCTCGATATCATACCAGAGCGAAGGTATCTGGACAGTATCAAGGCGGCGGACGGTAGGTCTCGAACCGTAATTGATAGCTGGGTAGGAACCCACGTTCTTTTGCTATCGTCCTTGTTTCTAAATGGCCACGACAGCCACGGTCGTGGCGGACTTCGGGCTGACACGTCGTTCTGTTCTAATGAAAGCAGTAACTGATCTAACCGATTCACATCGGCGGCCACGCCTGGCGCCTGTAAATATAGAAGGCGCTCGTAGGATCGCAGGCGGGCGGACGCTCTCTTAAGCAAGCGTGTTGTAGAGGGATGTCGATCCCTAAGATCATTCATGTCTATCGCGTATGTAATCGCGTTGTAGTCTTTGCTAGATGTTAAAAGAATTCGTAATGCTGCCGCAATGTTGGCAGTCGGGGAATTTCGATCCCATGATTCGGGGTAGATAATAATTCTATCAGTAGCAAGGGTGCTGTTTGATGCCATCGTTTTGGCAAATAGGAGAGTCGAGCATATATCTGCCGCGCTTGGTTTTGATAAAACCTGGAGATAGGCTTGCTTGTTCAACGATGCGTCGGCGGCACTTCCATCCAAGGCGGCTTGCTGAAAGGCACGCTTATAGTTTGGAAGCGTGGTAAATGGATTCTGGACATCCAAATCACTCGCAGGGCGTCTGACTCTATTTTCTGGCGACAAAGAATCTCCACTTTCGACACCGGGCTCTGCGAGCGGTGTCTGGGGTACAACGGCGGGGGTTGGGAGTGCGGTATATTTCGGCAGTGCGGCTTGGATGTTGCGAACCGACTGTTGCTGTAGTACGTAGCCCGAGAGAAACAGAAGAAATGTAGAAATGCCAATTATTGAAGTAGATATCACCACCGAAATCGTGCCCGACGTGATGAGAACCATGGCGGATCAGAGCAGTCGGGTTGGTCACACATGGGAGAAAGGGGTTGAAGGAGACATCAATATCTCATAGGCTATAAGCCATATTTACCTCACACGCCCTATCGTACCCTGCAGAGCCAAGGCCAGCTATTCTGCTCCTCGTCAGTCCTGCGATAACGAGGATCGGCACCATCCGACGGGTGTTTTCTCCGATGGGCGGCATTGTTTACGCTGTTTCGTTGCCCAAGTAACCTTATCGATAAGTCTTACGGTTATATTACCGTATTATACGGAGTACTTACGCTGTCCAAACTTCGATATCTCTGATAGCAGCTCGACAGGCAATTCAACACTACTGGACGAACAACCATTTTGCTGCATAAACAGCTGTCCGCATTTTCCATACTACGGCCATATCTATGTCCACCCACCGCGCCGATGCCAGTGCTCTTCTCGATTCCCGTGGTTACGTCGGCCCGTTGATTCGCGGCGTCAATCCCGCAACGCTCCTCGAAAAAGCTGTCCGAGACCGCATCACAGACTCCTACTATTGGAAAGAACAGTGTTTCGGTCTGAATGCTGCCACACTGTGTGATAGAGCTGTGGAATTGAGCTACATCGGGGGAACGTATGGTGGAAACCAGAAACCGACACCATTTCTGTGCCTGGCATTTAAACTGCTGCAACTCGCGCCAGAGAAGGATGTTATATTGGAATATCTCAACTTTCATGACCCAATGGAGGATGACGACAATAGTGACGATGAGGATGGTGGCGAAGGAGCCGCAGTCTTGAAAGCAGTTGGAGATTTTAAATATTTGCGGGCACTTGCCGCTTTTTATATCCGACTGACTTTTGAGCCGGTGGAAGTCTACACTGTACTTGAGCCATTACTATCAGACTACAGAAAATTAAAACGGCGGACAAAGGATGGCTTTGTGTTGACATATATAGATCAATTCGTGGACGACTTACTCACCAAAGATCGCGTATGCGGAACAAGTCTCTGGAAACTTCCTGCCCGGCAGGTATTGGAAGATTTGGATATGTTGGAAGAAAGAACCAGCCCGTTGGGCGAAGAATTAGAGGAGCTTGATAAAGAGAGTGATAACGAGAATCAAAGAAGTGAGCATGAATCGCGGGACGGAGACGATTGAAACCACCTGACCTATCGCTTCTATACAACCCAAAACTACTTATAGGTCGTTTTGACACCATTTCTAGCACTGAAGGGCTAGGTGACGGTAGAAATTTTCCCGCTGCGCCAGGACCTAACCAACAAGATGCTCTGTTTGCTGGAAAAAATTCTATAGGCTACACTTGCCTTGAGATCGTAGAGATCTCGCTTATAAAAGTGGAGGACGGCCAGGCCTGGCAGCCGAGTCGAGATGCATACTACAGTATGATAGATACAGTGGTGATGTATTTACCAGAATATATGGTGACGTTCTGTTTAGGCTTCCTCGTCTTTAGGACGTGTCTGCAATTCAAATATCTGCATTCGTAATTAGATCCAACTACAATTAGTAAACGACCCATATCGTACGACAGTTATAGTTCACATGTTCTGTGTCCAGCAGAAAACAAGCTACCTATATACTATAATCATCTTGGCTTTGCGATAACATGCATCCAAACAAAACTCCAAACTGGTATTCCAAAAATCAAAGTATCGTCATAAACGTAAAAACCCTCTCGTAACGAAGGCACCCTAGAAACCTTGCTGGCGATGCCACTTCTCCTCCCACCCTTTGAAGTAAGGACTTTCTTCCAGTGTTTCTACCTTCCACCCCTTCTCAATAATCCCGTTCTCCTCCTGCTCTATCGCCCATTTCTCCAGTGCTGGCAGTACCACATGCTCTGTGTGCCAAGTATTTTTATACTCCATAATACTCCTCTTCCCGTCCTTCAAGACCTTTGCGATTAGCGCCGGAACCCCGGGCTCGTCGCGGAATTCAGTGACGGGCGTAAAAACAGCTTTAAAGTTGAAAATAATAGCGCCAGAAAGTGGAAGACGACGAAGTGTTTGCCAGTCAACGCGAAGATAGCAGGATGAAATGTCCAGAGACGGCGACTGAGAGTAGCGATACTGCTCGTGGGGGTCACCTGGAGGCATGAAGAGAGGCTGCTCGACTTCAAGGCCCCAGGAGCCACGTTGAATGGGTCTGTCGGTGGGCATTTTGGCGAAGTAGCTGCTTCTAGTTAGTAATCGTCCCCATGGGGCGGCATACAAGATGTCAACTTACCGGTCCATTGAGAACCGCATCTTCTCCTTATAATCTGGAATAGGTTCATGAATTTCATGAAGCTGCATACCCATCTTCGAACCCAGATTCCATCCTAATGAAGAACAGATACAGCCTGCACGCAAAAAATAGTAACCACTTTCATCCCTCAGCATTATTCCAAAATCTTCAGGGACATGATGCATAAGAACGACGAGGGGGCTCTTGTCATGGAGATCCTCAACTATATCCAGGATACTGTTTGTAAAGTACCTCTTATCGTTCGAAAGAGAAAAATAATGTGGATATCTGGCGCACAGGAACTGTATGACCATCTCCATAAGCTCCTTACATGCTAGTTCAGCGCCCGGAAGCATATTAAGCACAGACTTTCCGTGCTTCTCATACAGGGCTTTTCGCTGAACAAGACGATCTCTGTACGTATTCTCCAATTCGAGCCACCAATTTGATTCCAATTTCGTTAGTGCTGCGATCCATCCCGTGTTAGCGAGCGATCGGCCAAAGTTAACAAATGCAATCAAGACACTTACACATCGTCTGATGGTAATTCCAACGAAATGGTCGGTAGGGTCTAGGCAGCGCCTTATTGATATCAAACTCAAGATAAGGCTCCGGCAATGGAACACCGCTCAAAGTCGCATAATCGGGGAAATCTCCAAGCGCCTTGATTTCTTCTGTTGAAAACCCGGTGGGTGTAAACCTAGCCCCGATGCACGCTTTATAGCTCTCCGTCATGGGAAGAATAGATCGTAGCATGGTCTCATCTGCAAGTTCTTGAGGGGCTAAGGCAGCCCGCTGACTGTCGGGAATCCCGGTCTTAGCAACTGTATATAGAGCTTCTCTGAGCGATGGCGGAAGGATCTTGCTATACGGTGGGCTCGAAGGTCGTTTCTCCGAAAAGTCAGGCGGTGGAGTTTTCGCGGATGGAACCTTTCTGCTAGAGCCTCTCAGTCTATCCAGGAAGCGTCTGCCCTGCGACCCGCCTACGGCCAGACAGGCGACCAGCGCCATGACCAGAGCGGCTCCGATCAAAAACATCGGATTGTCCATTGCTGTAAACATATTGACCCCAAAATTAGAATAAAAAAATGAAATATATTAGACCAATCCAGTTAAGACCTCAGGACTAGCATGGTGTTCTCTGGGGCACTGGACACAGCGAAGTACCGTGATCACCGCGAGAAAGAAGCAGCCAGACACACACTATCCAAGATAACGAAGGCTAAGGGAGCGTACTGCCCAGTGCCTTGCGGGATATCGGGCCTTTAGTAGGAAGGGGAAGCCCCTATTTGCCAGGGTATCAGGGAAGCTTGCGACTAATCACGACAATCTATGCACGCAAGGGCAGGGGAGAGGCCTGGCCGCAGGTATGTATGTACCTCGAAGCGGGGGACAAGAGACACCAGAGGAAGGAGAAAAAAAGAAGAGATTGGCACACAAGACCTAGAGACTGTCTTCTAGGGGCGAAGCGCATAAGTTGATCGAGCCGGGGGCGGGGAGGGCTGTATATCAGGCACTAGATATCAACCGTCCTCCCTCTCCGCAGGACGTCCAGACAGCTTTTATGCTTCGTGCCGCAGTTTTAGCAGCAGACGCCATCTCAGATAGCCGTGAACGCGGGGGAAAGTACCCGGTACATCGCATCTAGTTCCTGGCCTGGAGAAGGCGCCAGCTCGAGGGCGCTCGTGCGGGCGGTGCCGCCAACGAGAGACTCGAGGCCCGGAGCCGGGAGGCCGCTAGTGGCCGGGGGCCGAATCCGCGGCGCAGAGACATGGCGACTATTGCGCTTTGTGCATGGCCAGCAGAGGCCCGCGACCTGGCAGCGAGGTAGCTGGTACACCCGGGGGCGTTGGCACCCAAGCCTCGCGGGCCAGGCGATCGCGGGTCTCAGCGGGCGCGGGCACATGACGGGCGGCAACGGAGGATCGCGTGTCCCAATCGGGTAAAAGATGTCGCGGGCCGTCGTTAGTCCGAAAGTCAGTCTGCCCGCCCCCGAAACGGCAAAACTATCCCGCCGCTGCAGCGCCGCGCGTGGGCTGCGCGGCGACGTCGTGGAACGCGTGCGGACGACGATGCGCCTGCAGGCGAGATTACAAGTTGCGCTGCTGGCCCAGCTGGCGGCGAGGCCCGCGATAATATGAGCCAGCTCTACGGGCACGAGGCGGTTCTTGTCAATTATTAGATGGATTCACAGAGCGTTCTGACTCTAACAGGCTAACCGACACCACTCTGCGAACCGCGAAAGGAAGGAAAAAGAAAACAAGCCAGGAGAGACGAGAAAAGTACATTTATGGGAAATCGATCAGGCAATCTCCCCCTGCAAAGCCTCGGCGAATGAAATCCTGGGGGACCGTGGACCGCAAGGGGTAAAACCCAATCACTCCAGCGTGTGAATTGTCGACACTGTTCCGCCCGTGCCAAATAAGAGAAGAAAAGAGAAGATGGCCCTATTTTTCGTTCGTTGCAACTAAATGCCATAAAAAAAAAGATACACGAAAGGTCTGAAAAAGGTGAAGGATGAAAGACAAATCTTTTGTAAAATTGCC